GATTGAAATTGATAAAATTGTTTTGTAATAATGAGATTAGATTATTGTGATTAAGAAATAAGCAGAAAGAAAACCGGAAGAGGGTGAAAATGGCGGGCTAATTTTTTACTTCTTCTTCTTCTTGTTGATTAGGATTAAACATCCGGTGCCCTTCAAAATTTATCAGAAACACTAATTACTGAGTCAATTTGAGAGTGACAATCAACCCCCTCTAGGTTTGTTCATTGATTACAAAGAGGGAAAGGGACACTGGTTAAGAATCAAATTAGTGTGATTTTGCCATTTACTTAGCATTGGCAATCCAAGATAATGTTGATGGTGATGATGATAACAAGAAATAACATAAATACAAAAGAGGAGAGGCTCAAATCAACGAAATAGCCTCGAGGGGTTAACAGATTACGAAGGTAAAGTTAATAGATAAGGATGACGGTTGTAGTTACATAGACAAATGAAGAAGCTTCAACATTGGAGAAAATTTTCTTCAAGTTAAGGTGATGATTTTTACCCAAATTTTTCGCTCCCAAAAAGAAAGAGAGAGAGAGAGAAAGGAAATTAGTGTGCAAGTTTTACACTCTTAATGGTGATCATGAAAAAAAAAGACTTGATGCCTGAAGGCAAACGAAAAATAACTTAAATAGACTTTGGTCCATTCCCTGAACACAAAGGAAACTCTGTTTATGTTTAACATTAATTTTTTGGCTTCAGTTTCCGAGAAATATGATTCAGTGGAGGAAGATGATGATTATACTAATCATCATGATGAATATGGAGGTGGAGGAAGTGGAAGGAAGTAAGAGAGAGAGAGAGAAGATGCCAAAAAATTGTTAATTTCAAGAGAAACTCTGAAAGTTTAATTGATGTTGAATGAAGAGTAGAAAGATCAACATTCAAGATAAGAAAGTGATGTAACGTTTTGTGAGGAAATTAAAGTCACAATTAAGGAAAAGGAAATGAATTTAAAGTGTCCCCTAAGAGGGTCCAGGGTTAAATTGTAACAATTAGAAGCAACTACAAGAATATATATTAAAATTCCGGTCAAACTTGCGTTGATATCTTTTTTCATTGTTTTGGTCAAAACTGTTTACCAACAGTAAGATGAAAACAAATGGACATTCATTATAATCTAAATCATCATCATCATTAATTATTGTCATGAAACAGAAACACACTCATTCATTATAAACTGAATTCCTTAATCTTATTAGGGGGTAAAAATATTGATGTTACAAAAATGATGAGGATGCTTCATTTTCAAGGTTATTCACCAATTTATCTTTAGTCTGATTCACACACACAATCAGGAGTGAGGATGATAAATATTATCACTCTTTCTTAAGTCTTTCTTTTCATCTTCATCTTTTCCCGCTTTCAATTCTGTCCCTGATCAAAGATAATCATGAAATGGATTGAAAAAAACAAGAAACATGAAAAAAAGGAGATTCCCTAATTCCCAAGTCTCGATTAAGATTAAGATGAAAAGTCTTCTCCAATTTCAATGATAAAGATGAAAAATAATAAAATATCTTCTTCTTCATCTTCATCTTCATCTCTCTCTCCTTACCTGACCTCTGTATGATCCAATTTCCTGTCAGATTGATGAGAAAGTAAGAGAGAAAAGTAAGAGAAAAATCAACAGAATGTTTGAAGAAAAAATCAGAAAGATGAAAGAGAATCGGGAGAAGATATTTATCAATAGAAAACTAGTTACTGTTGTTATTTACAGTGAGAAGATGAAGATCAGGTTGATCAGAATCATTTTTTATCATCTTCTCTTGTTATTATTATTACTCTCTCTCTCTCTCTCTCTCTTTTCATCCCAAAGAAAAAGTTTTAAGTTCTAAGAAATATTTTCTTCAAGGTAACTCCCATTTACCTGTTAAAATATTTGGCTAACCAGACACATTTACTATATAAACTATGTGATTGAAATAACTCCCATTCACTCATATTAAATATCTGAATGTTGATTTATTTATGATGGTGAGAGAGAGAGAGAGAGAGAGAGAGAGAGAGAAAACAATCACAATTAGTTAATCACACAAGAAAATTTAATCTCAATGAGCTACTTGCATGAGTTGTTTCAAAGTAAAACTAACATGATATTAACGGATAATGATTATGATTAAGGTTATATTGTGACAGAATTTTAAATATTCTCACAGGTTAATCATCACTGAAGATGATTAACATTATCTTCTCATTGAATTTCTGAAAAAAAAGATTCATCCATAGATGATGAGAAGAGTAAATTATTATCATCATCATCATTCATCAAAATGTTTGACATTGTAGACTTACCTGTTTTCCTCAGTGTAAAATGTTGGTCCAATTGCTATTGAAAATTATCATCTAAATGATGATTAAGAAGATGATGATGATAATAATACCTTAGGAATCTGTTAACTTGTTAGTAAATTGTTTCCAATTGTTCAGAGTGAGAGGTTTACAATCATTTTATCATTTCTTCCTGAACTTGAATCTTATTTTCTTCATTATTATTTATGATAAATAGTAATTGTTATCTTGTCATTCAATTTACAATCAAAATCTATTGCTTATCATTATCAACAATCAAAGATACACTTAATCACAATCAAAATATTCCAATAAAATTTTCAAGGTTTTAAGTTGAGAGTATGCCTGGAGTAAGATTATTTAAATCATTTGCTGATTGATTGTCAATATTGATTAAATATCTTTTGCTAATCTTGAGCAAATCAGGGATTATCATAGATTTTCATTGTTAAATCTGATGTGATGATTTATCAACAATTAACTTGATTGTTTGTTAATCAAAAGTGTATCAATCGTTTGAAGAAATCATAATATTGAGCAAAAGTGATTCAATCTCCCTGGTGAATCATGATTAAAATGACCAATCAAATTGCTTCTGTTTAGTTAATTGTTACTAATTTAAAGACTGATTAATTGTTATTGTATCTTTTAAATTGTAATTGATAAGATTTATGTATAAATGAAAACAAGTTTAACAAGTGACAGTGTTTTGGAAAATCAATACACTGGGTGTAATTGATATCATCTAATTACAATTAACGGACAATTAAAATAAATTGACGGCCTCTTCCTTATTTCTTTGTAACAATTGTAATTATATATTATATCATATCAATTTATTAATATCCAATTCAGAGTAACAACAATCAACTGATTGTGGATAATTGATTACAAGGAAACCTTAAACAATTTTGTTTCCACAAAGTAGCAAAAAGTTAATTGTTGATGATAATCAGTGAAAACTAACATTTTAAATCAATTGTTACAATTACTTTTTTTTGATTGAACTCAAATTAATTACATTTATCTGAGATTTTAATTATCTCTGTGGTTTCAGGGTAACAATAAATGTAAATAAGATGATTACAAGTGTATCTTAATTGTAACAGACCAGAAAAAAAATTAGTTTATCAACAACAATCAATGACTAATTAGCTAAATAGAAACAATAATCTTGTTAAGGTGACACTTCCGCTAATAACAATTAGCTTTGTCATTTAATTACAATGTGAGAGGTTAATTAGTGTTACAAGGAAGCGATGTAATCAACAGTAAACAGAAACTAGATCAGAAAGTAAAGATTAACAATCAGAAATTGAGAGTTAATCACTTATTGGATTGCAAAGTTAAATATGATTGAAAACAATTGAAAGTGAGAGTTAATTTTAATCAAGAAGAAAAAAAAATCAAATCGTGAATATGATTTTGTGTGTTAGGAATTGAAATTGAAGAGCGGCTTTGATGGGAGTCGGGGAAAAAAGGTTGGCCTGAAAGTGGCCTCAAGAGATAGGGAACAAAGAAGCTTGTTTATTAAGAGCTAAGAATCAACAATCAACAATCAACAATCAAACAGCAACTTTTTTTGCGAGAAAAAGGAAATTTTTTTCTTCAACTTCTGTAACAGAAACTACTTTCAATTGAGACAATCAACAGGTAATAACATTTAAATTGTAATCACAACATGATTTAGTAATTTAAATCACTTATCATCATATGAATGATAAAGAAAATGATTTTCCATTTCATCAATATTATCATCATTGTGTATCTTCATTGATTATGATGATGATTATGATGATGGCTGATCAATAGAGTCTTCATTAGGAAATAATTTAATCAACAATTTAAATCAAATTGCAATTATATGTATGATTAAATAACAAGAAAAAAAAGGGAAAGTGTATTTCTCAATACAATGCTGTCAATTAAATCACCAGTATAATCAGATTTAAATTGTTGTCTAATTGTGTGAAAGCTTTTAAATTATTTTTTTGCGCTCTGACGTTGATTGGTAATCGTTGATGATTATCAATGAATTCAAATCAAATTTAGATGCAATTTAACTCAGCGTGAACTTTTTTGCTTCATTATATTCAACTGAAATATACCTTTAACAGTAAAAAAGATTCACAATTAACTAATTAACTAATTAAATCACTTGATTGTCACTATATTCACTAATTTAATACAACGACCTTTTAATAAGGTATAAAAAAAGGTTATGGTTAATGAGATGATGATGTTAAATGTATTATTACAATTTGAATATCTAATGATAATTAAACTGTTATATTATTTTTATATGATTTAGTTAATTGTTGATAGAAAAAAAAATAGTAAAATAAATCAACTAATTGTCATTTCAATGTCAAAATAAAATGAGGATCATCTTGATAACTTGAGTGGGTTTGTAATATTTGATTGTATTATTAATAAAATGGAACGAGAAGAAAATAACAATCAACTAATTGTAAACAAGAAAATAAATGAAGGACAATTTAAATTGATGTTATGATCGTTTTTTCATCTCAAATTGTTGTGAAACAACAACTCAATTAATCAACATAATCAACAATTGACCATCATAATTAAGATGAAATGTAGTAATGAAAAAATTTTCGAATCAAAATTGTGACAATTAAAAGACGATGATACAGTTAATTGTTTGCTGGGAAGAAAAGAAATTAATCAAATTAACTTACCTTTCTTCGTTGGATTTGTTCCTCATAATTAAGTCGTAATTGGAAATAATATATTTCTCCTGATGTCCATTCTTTCTGAATCATCAAGGGTAATTCGTTCTCATGTAATCTCCTCTCCCCTGAAAGAAACAAAACCAAATTAACTTAATTGTTATTCAAATGATTGATTAAACTAATTGAATGTTTTACATAAAAACAAAGTATCAAAAGGATAAGTGATTTAATATCAACGTAAGGATAAAATGTTTTTATTTCATTTCAATGGGATAACTAATCTAATTGAAATTGTTCATTCGTTTGGATAGATATAAAGATAATTAAATGTTTGTTTTTCTGACAACAATTAGAACAATTTAAATTGTTAACTTACACTTTTTCTGAGGACAAACTTCATATAATGCAAATGAAGAGACCAATGAATCTGAATCGTAACAATGAAGTAACAATTGGATAAGCTCAGCGACATTGGTGTAATCCGATATTAGAAGACTTTTATAAAGAGACTTTAAGAGAAGAAAAGTTTTTTTTTCAATTAGAATCACAATTAATCATTAATTTAAGAAAGAGACAATTTAATAATTTATATTATTTTTATGGTAAATTGTTTCAAATTGAGCAAATATAAATGTTATCAAGTAAATTATGATAACTTACCGCTGACATTAGGCAACTGTCATAGACTTTGACCAATCCACCTCTTCGGGTTACAAGTGAGAATCTAGAAGTTGGGAAACAAACAATTAATAAATTGTTACAAATAATTAGTGTCACTAAAATTTAAGACAAAAAAATTGTTTTATCGGGTGAACAAAAAAAAACGGGACAAAAATGGTCACAATTTTATCTATCTCTTAACTGGACCATCAAGTATGTCAAGCAATTACACTTGGTCGAGTCTAAGATTAAGATATGATCCTGTTTCCTGTTATATGATCATCATCTTCATCATCTTCATCTTCATTCTCATACTGAAATTGTTATACTAAGAATGTAAGAGAGATGAAAAAACAAAAGAAGATGCGACAAAAAGATGAGGATGATAAAGTTTAAAAGGATAATTTAGAAAAGGAAGAAGCCCATTTAGAGATTATCTCTAAAGATGAAGATTTATCTTCTTCTTCCTTGTGGGTGTTATATTGTCACTTATCGTATTTACTTGATATCTTGGTGTGGATACGATTCTTGAATCTGAGCTGGACAACTCAGATCATCCAGAACAATAACAGTTCTAATGGGTGTTCCTGATGAAAGAGAAAACATTTTATCGATTAGATTTTAATTGCTATTATTAGAACAAGTATTGATCTCTTAATATTGGAAATGTTCTCATTACCTGTTCGACGAATTGTTATTTCCATGGTAAAGTAAAATAGATTAGGGTCTGTGTGTTTCATTCGGAATTTATTCAGTAACATGGTGACCATTTCACGACATGTTGTTACTTTTGACACTGAAAGAGTTTTATATTCAACGTCAGGGCACAAAACTTTTGCATAAACTTTCACAACAAACTGTAAATTTAATTGAGATACAACAAGTAGAGAGAAAAAAATTAATTAACTTAATAAAAGTGACTTGTTAATTGTTTAAGAGTAATGTCAACGGTGAGAAAGTTAATATTTCATTTGAAACCACTTCATGAGCAATTAATTTAAAAGATTGACCCAACGAGGTAAATAGTAACTGGTCAGTTGCCCACACATCATAGAGAGATGGTTAATTGTGTAAACTCAAGCTAATTGTTATCACACTTTAACAAACTATATCAATTTAGCTGGTCATTACTCTCAATTAAAATTACTCAGAGACAAATTAATAAATGACTTGTAAGTAAGATTAAGTTAGTAATTTGTATTAATGGAAAAATATAACTAATTGTTTGGGATTAATTTTAGGTATTGAAGTTGATGGACAATTTTGTTTCTTTTTCATTTAATTTCCCTTTAAATTAATGTCAAGTTAAACAATTAGAATCACAATTAAGCGGTAAAAGAACAACAAATTGTTACCTGTTCATTGAGGGTCACTGAGATTCTGTCCATGTCCAATTCCAGAGAATCAGCTGAAGAATTGAGTGAATCTTTTTTACTCTTTCTTGGTGTCATTTTTTTCCTCAGTATTATTTCACTTGAACACACTAATTGTTGACAGTTAAAGTTGCAATTAAATTTAATTCACAATTAGAAGCAAAAAAAAACAGTAAAAAAGAAAAAAGAAATTTTTTGTTGTTGCTCATTCAGGTTCTCAATTTAATTTGAATTCCAAAAATTTAAACGAAAAAGAATAAAAAATTCAAACTCCTCCTTCTTTTCTCAGCGACATCTAGTGACCTTTTCAGGAGAGTTTCTCTCGTGAGTGGTGAGTTTTTCCAACGATCATTTTCTGATATTAATAATAATCGTTGGTACTTTTAATTTTGAATGTATATGGTGGAAAGTAATAGAATTGTTGAAATCAAAAACTCGAAAACATGATAAAAATATCAGAAAATAAGCTCATGTAAGGTGAATGTTCAATTCGGGGCCGTAGACTACCAATTCAGTGGTAAAAATGTACAACGAGTTTTTCCCTCGGATGCTAAATGAAAACTGAGATTTTATTTTCTCTTTAATTGCTACGAATTTTTTGTTAGAATTTTCTTTTTGGTGATTCGAAATCGTTTAGATTGTTAAAGTAGAGAGTGTGTGTGTGTCTCTATTTGTTTATATGACATAAATGTCGTAAGTAAATATGTACTTGAGATAGAAAAGAATCAAAAGAAAAAAGGAAAAGTAAATGATAGTTTGGGTTCGTGAATAAGTTGATTACAATTGTTGAGATTTAATTTGATTACATTGATTAATAATTAGAATAATTCTTGTGAATTTTTGTCAGAATGTTAAACATAGGATGTAATAGTTTTCAATCCTTTTAAAGGATAATTCAAATGAATAAGAAGTTTTTAAATGATTGCAATTTTAAGGAAATAATTGAATTTTGATTGCGTTAAGTTATGATTTAAATGTGGAAAATTGATTAATGATTAAATTAGAATCTCCCATTTCCCTGATAACACATTTGTATCACCCGATGATTTCAAGACATGAACAATACAGAGATTCGTCACTGATTAGAATGGGTCAACTAACAATTAAATATGAATTTTTTCTCTTCTTCTTCTAATCATTTGATTAGTTGAAATTAAATGAAATTTTGTTGCACTGGAGAGATTTAGTTATATGTGAAGATGATAGTTGATGATGATGGTTGGGAAATGATTGATGATTGATTAAGTTTCATTGGTGAAAAGCCAATCAGAGTTTTGATTCGATTTCTTTAGTTTGGACCAAGTTTTCTTGTTCAGCGGTAATCGAGCAGGTCGCAATTTAAAACTCGACGAATGCTTTATAACGGGTTGAGGTATTGGACTCTGAGAATCTGAAGATGCAATTGATTTCTCTTTGGAACGATTAAGTCTGTCTTTCCATTGGCTTTTTAGAATTCGATCAATCTTATTTTTAACAACATTACAATCTTCATCAAATTGATCATCACAACAGTTCATCATGATGTTTGTGTAATGTTTGATCAAAGAATGATGAGAACATGATGATGAGAGTGATGATGATGATGAACAACGAGAAATTTGACCACCACTATCTCCAGCATCTTCCCAATCACAATTCAATCTATTAAGATGATCTTCACTTTCACCAGTTGCATCGTTAATTTTGTTGGTGTTAATTAATTTACTTTCATCTTCTTCTTTAACAATAGTTGAACTTTCTTGAGGATACATTTTTTTGATCGACGACCAAATCGTTTCTTTCGAGCTTTCTTTTTGGTTATATGAAGATCACCTGTGGATGCTTCACTTAAACCCTTTTCATCAGCTATTTCATCATCATCATTATAACCTCCATCATCTGATTTATCATCCAATTTATCTGATCCATCTGACAATGGTGAATTACTTGATTGATCACTTATTGGTTTTACATTTCGTCTCTTTCTACCACGATTACTTTTCTTTTCAAAATTAGAAGTTTTCTTTTTATCACCACCTTGTTTACTCGAAGACGAATTATTCTAATGAAAAAGTTTAGAAGAAAAAAAAAATAAAGATACAAATTAGAAAATGATATAAATTTAAAAAGACAAAGAAAAATAAAACAATAGATTCAATTTAAGGTTTGAATGTTTACAAGGAACAAAACAAGACTAACCTTTGTCTTTGACCCTTTACTCTGGGTCTCTTTTGATGACACCTCTAATTAACAATTAATAAAAATTAATTAATAATCAAATTAGTTAAAAACAATCGAAAAGACAATTAAAGTTAAAGAGAAAAATAAAATTAACAAAATATTTGTTTACCTTTTTTTGGTTGATCTTCAACTGTATCAACAGTAACATCGTTAAGTTTTTCAGGTGGTCGCCAAACAACACGAACCCGTTGGACTCGCCTATTACGATTTGAGAAAATACCCTTACCAGGCCAAAAAGACATTGCTAATTAATTAATTCTCTCAATTAAAACAAAGGAAAACAATTAAATTAAACAAAAAATTTATCCACGAAGTATCAAAATAAATCAAAAAAAGATCCAAAAATATCTGATCCTAAAAACGAATCCAAAAGAATCGCAAACAGCGACACCTGGCGATCTTTCACTTAACCGAGATTCTTTTCCCTTTCTTATTGTGATTCATGTCTTTTTGTTTCCTTGATTAGATTTAATTGATTGGTTATTTTTTCATTGATTATTGATTTTTTTCTTCTAAATTTAGTTTGTCTTTTAATTAGTTACCCTAATTAGTTGCTGTTGAATCGTAATCATGTGTAATCCTCGGTCAGAAGTTGCTAATCAGCAACAGGCTGGCAATGTGGATAACGGTGGAGAGGCTGGTCAGAGGCAAGGTAACTCTTTTTGGGGAATTGCTCGTGATATTGTTGTCAGATGTGTCATTATGTATTTTGTCGTAAGCTTTTTCACCAAGATGCAACAACCTAAATCACCCTCATCATCATCATCATCATCATCATCATCGGGAGGTCCAGGAATAAGTCATGAACCCTCAACAAATTTATTCCGTAATGGAACCTTAATGGATCTTTATGTATTTATAAATGAAAATCCATCTAAAGTAAATTTTGATAATCCTGGTGAATTAAAATGGATTCAAAAGGAATTAATTTTTGGTGATTGGAATATTGGCCCTAATCAGCAAGGTTTCATTGAATTTGATACAGATTTACCACTTTCAACTAGAGTCCAAAACAATGGTACCATTTACCTTCATGTTTATGTAACCAAAGCTGGACATCATCCTAATCCAAAGGATCCAAAATATTCGGAATTTTTTACTATCCATACAAGTCACCAATTAAATAAATATAAAAAGCGTCGCTACTCAAGTACGCACAACTTATTAACTGGTCAAACATCAGCTTCCAAAGAATCCATTGAAAAGGTTGCCCAGAATATCAAGGAAGAGATAATCTCCCATTGGCATCCCAATTTAACCATCAGTGTAATTTACGATCAAACACCTTGGGTACAAGGTCGAGTTCCGTCACCTTTTGATCAATATATTAAATTTGAACCCACGTCAGGTAAATATTTTCCAGTTATTTACCTAAATGACTATTGGAATCTTCAACGAGAGTATCAACCTATCAATACAACCTTGAAGTAAGTAAAGCTTATTAATCCTCAAGTTGCTTCATTAATTAATCATTCAAAGAATCAATTTCTAATTCATTTTTATTTTTTCTCATTTATTCCTCAGGTCAATTCCTCTTCATCTCACTTTCCAACCTTTATCTATGTTTAAATGGCAACTTTACATTACTCAGTCTATGAAATCTCAATGGAACAGCATTTTGGGTGCTGACATGATGGAAGAGTCTGATAGTAGTCAAGACAGTGTTAAAGAAGCTCTTCTTGAAACATCGCCCATTCTTTTAGCTTTAACTATAATTGTTTCCATAACTCACAGTATTTTTGAATTTTTAGCTTTCAAAAATGGTAATATTTTCCTTTATTTAATGGTCGATTTTATCTAAATATTCAAACTTTCATTTATCTTCGATAGATATTCAATTTTGGCGTAATCGTGAATCTTTGGAAGGTCTTTCAGTCCGATCGGTATTTTTCAATGTTTTCCAATCTGTTGTTGTATTTCTCTATGTTCTGGACAATGATACCAATACAGTTGTCAGAATTTCCATTGGAATTGGTTTACTCATTGAAATATGGAAATTACCTAAAGTAACTAACATTCAAATAGATTATCAAAATAAACTATTCAACATCATTCCAAGAATCAAGATCGCCGATAAAGGATCTTACGTTGAATCGTCTACAAGACAATATGATACAGTAAGTTAATCTTTCTTAATAATTGTAATAATTTAGCATAAATTTCTAATTGTTTCATTCAATTTTCTTTAAATCTTTAGTTGGCTTTTAAATATCTTTCTTGGGTTGTGTTCCCATTATTTGTCGGTTACGCTGTCTACTCATTATTATATGAAGAGCACAAAGGATGGTATTCATGGGTTCTGGGTATGGTTTACGGTTTTCTATTAACATTTGGTAAGGATAATTTTTGAGAAAATATCAAATATAAAATCAATCAATAACTTTACTAATCTATTGTATATTTTTTTTCCTCTAATCTAAATAGGTTTCATTAGTATGACTCCTCAACTTTTCATCAATTATAAATTGAAATCTGTTGCTCATCTTCCATGGAGAATGTTAACTTATAAGTTTCTCAATACCTTCATCGATGATATATTTGCCTTCGTCATTAAGATGCCCACCATGTATCGAATTGGTTGTTTCCGAGATGATATCATTTTCTTAATCTATTTATATCAACGGTGGATCTATAGAGTTGATCTTAAACGGGTTAACGAATTTGGAGTTTCCGGTGAAGTGATGGATAAAAAATCTAACGAATTAAAAGATAAACCAATGGCTGCAATAAAAGACAAAGATGAAGATGAAAAGGAAAAGGAAAATGTCAACAAACCAGAAGAAAGCAAAAAAGACCAATGATAAAATCTCTAACATCAAAACTAATATTAACCATGTTTCCAATTATCATTGATTAGATGATGATAGTCATAAGAAAATCAAATCAATTTGCTTTTTGAAATATCTACACACCGGAGGATAACAATTAACTATCCTCGATTATCCTGTGAAAATCTTGAATTTAAATAAAGACAAGAAAATCAACTGAACTAGTCAGTTTGTCATTGTAAAGATTTCTTTTTTTTCTCATGTAACGATTTGCTAATTGTGAATTTAAACCTTAATGTCCCTTTAATTGTGATTTGAAATTATAAATTATTGTGGTTTATAACTAATCCAGTTTCTCTCTTTCTCTCTCGAAAACTTTATTACCTTCTAATTGTCATGAAAAGTAATTGGAGAAAAAAAAAATGGAAACGAAAAAATTATTTGCAAAGTAATTTGAATAATGTTTTTTAATCCAATTTATAAATTGCGAAGAAATAAATTATTGTATTGATTTAATTGATTGTTTTGGTACGAAAAAGATCCCAAAGTAGAAACGGCACAAAAAGTTTTCGACAATTTGTTATAATCGGTGGGAAAATGATCTAACAAGAAGAGAATGACAGAGTAAAATGATCAGTTTACCAACGAGATGATCAGTTAATTATCATTTCTAATTGTAAATCATTTTCGATTCCAATTTATGTACATTGAAGTTTTAATTGCAATCAGAACGAGTACTTTTGATGAACTTTTTTATCGGCATTCATTGTATCATCGTGAGGGATTTCATTTGCCTATTGAAGAGATGGAAGCAAACACAAATTAGATAATCAAATTGATTGTTGGCCAAAGAAATTGATTAATTCAACTTACCCAGACTGTTTTTTCAACTGGGTGGGGAAACGGTGGGACTGGATGAGGTATTTCAGGCTCAGGTAATTCTGCCCCGGGCGGTGGAGGTGTTAAGATCTTTCCTGATCCCGGAATTGTGATCCCAGTGAAAGTGGTTTCGGTTGATAAATCATCGGGTTGTTCAGTTGAATGATCAATGATACTTGGAATTGATGGAATACCAATGATTGGACTAATTGTCGGTAAATTGGGTTGGCGAGTTGAGTAATCTGAGGTCACAACTTTCGGGTCAACTGTTTGAGTGGTCCATGAAATGATTGGTTGATGGGTACTTGTTGAGTCGACAATTGGTTTAATTGTTGTTTCCTCACCATCTTCATTGTTATTATCATTTTCATCATCTAAATCAGTTGGTGTCATTGTCGTTGTTTGATCGAGAGGCCAAACACCGCCGCCGATTTCAATCTTCTTCTTTTCATTTGTTCCGTCGATTGAAATTTTGTCACATTTGTATAACTTTTTAAGAGAGGAAATGTCACTTGGGGTCATCACATATTTATAACCAGGATCTTGAATTGTTGTGCCCGAAGGGTTGATTGGTGTCATCGTTTGTGAATAACCATCACGAGAGAAAGCGGTTGACCCATAGATCATGATTGAATTATAATCGAAATCTGTGAATAACTGATTCTCCCAATCATTGAGCTTCTGGAATTGAGGATAAGCTTGAGGATCAATATTCTGATAATTAATACGAAGGAAGCGATCACGATCCGATCTACTATGGTGATGGAAAAACCCTAAGGCATGAAGAAGTTCATGAATAACGACACCGGGTACATGACAACCTCTTCCTAGAGACAATTCCTGAGAACCACCTTGACGTCCAACTTGTGAATAGCATCTAAATATTAAAAACAATTAGCGAATAATCAATCAAATTAACTAATTTTCTCTCAATCTTCTTTTATCAACTAACCCTTGAGATTGGTACATGAAGACGAAATCAGATTCGTGAGTCTTTTCCTTGAATTTTATACAACCCGAAGTCATTTGGGTTATGTGGTCCATGGCTTGTTTGATTAGTGAACGTTGATTCTCTGGATAATTAAAACAACAATTAGATAGATATCAAGAAAGAAACGGGAATAGTTTAGATGAAACAAAAAATCCAAGTCACTTACGAAGAGAAGAGTCGATTGTGTAAACGACTTCGCCGTTAGGCCAAAGGTAGCCCGTGTCAACGATTGCATGATAAGGTGAAGCTTCAGATGATATATTTGTCTGTAAACAGAAATTAAATCAATGGATTACTAATCAAATAGAATTACAATTCGAAATGAGAGATAATCTTATTTGTAAAAGAGGAGAGAATATGAGACGATAGGGAAAAGAGATGATTGAGAAAGGAGAGTAACAATTAAGAGAAATTAGCGAAAATTAAACGAACTTACCGATGGATAAGAGCCCAAAATGTCACCTTCGAACTTGTCCAAACTGTAGAAAGCCTTAGGATCGTAAAGTCCATTTGTACTTTCGACGAGATTTAATTTTCCTTGTTGATTGTTTTCCTTTAAAATCGGTGCTCCAAAAGAGGTAAAGGTTAAAGTACAAATAATTACGATAATTAACTCGATCATATTGTGATTAGTTAATTGTTAGACTGAAGAGATAGTTGACCAAGAAAAAGAGATTAGAACAATATTTTCGGTAAAATCTTCGTTTCGAGAAATCAATCAGAGAGTTTGAACCTTAGGACGACAATTAATTTGGTGGGGAAAAAATTCGAGAAGAAAAAATTTACAATTAGAAAGAGTTAATTTCTCTGTCTAAAATCAGGAGATTATTTCTTTTCTTCGTTTCATAAATACGAAAATCGTTAATTGTTGATGTTACTCCAATCGAGTGACATTCTAAATTAATTGTTCCAATGTCTCTTGATTGGATATATATTGTCAATTAAATCATTTGCTCCTTGACAAAGATTATCGGGAGTATGAGAGAGTCGAGAACACATAATATGATAAATCACAAGGAACAGAGAGGAAAAGAAAAAGAAGAAGAAAAAAGTAACAATTAGAATTGATTGTTGATCATAATGGTGGATAGTTAATTAATTAGAGTACAATAAGCGGGTCATTATTGAATCATGGGTAAAGGTAAACCCATGGTATGAATAAAATTAATAATCAAATCAATAGACTGAATCACAATTAAAGTGAATGAAAATCACGAGTTGTTTTGATTTTGTTTTTGATTTCTCCATGAAATTACCTTTAACAATTAACTTAATCATCATCATCAACAACCAATCAAACCGAATCGTCTCTCACATTGAACTGTCTCCTTGTGTCCCTGAATAACAATGTTTAATCATCATCTAATTAACAATCAAATACATAATCATTATCATGATAATAAACAACGCAATTAGATAAATTTTGGTAATCATCTTGTCAACTAATTAACTTTTAAGACAATTAACTTTATCAAACATAATGCTAATCATAATTGGGATTAAATTGTGTGTGTGTGTGTATTTCAATCTGCTAATTGATTACAATTATGAATAATCAATTTACGATTATTTTAATAGTTCAGGTTAAGGTCCTTCTTAATTGTTTCCAATTTAATAATAATTGACGAGGTTGTAACAATTTACTCTTTTGATTCCCAATCAAAATTAACCATTGGAAACCTTGATTTTGTTTTCCCTCTCTCACTGACCCAATAAATTAGTTGATTGTTTGTCATTAGTCAATACAAATCTCGGCTAATCAATTTTAATTGCTGCAGTTATTATTTTCTAATTCATCATCGTAATTGTTGTTGTTATTTTGTGTTTTCTTTACATCATTTAACTCATCAACAAACAATTTAACTTGTAATTAATTAATTCTAACCGCTCTTTGACCTCAAAATAAATGATTAAACAATTTACTCAGAAATTTATATAATTATTTCATTGAAGAAAAAAAAAATCCATAACAATTAACTAACTAACTATAAATTATAAATAGGAATCAATTATAATTGTCCAAGGCCTGAAACAGGAACAAATAATTAATGGCAATTAATGTTGTATTAATAACTAAATCAAAGTGACAATTAACTGTAAATTGTAATTTGACATGTTGATGATTGAGTTTGTTAATTTATTTGGCAATGTTTTCTTGAGACAATTTAACTTGATTTAAATTGTTTGACAATATTTTTCATCTTGATAACTTTACTTGTCCAATATAATGTTGACAAGAAAAATATTAATCTAGTTAATCCTGGTAAACCATATTGGATTAACAATTTATCCATAAATTGTTGATTAAACGTTGATTGTAGAGGGAAAAATAGTAAACATCTGATTAATTCTTGTTTACTCCAATCACGGCCATTCATTAATTTGGAAAGACAAACAATTGAAAAGGTAAGGTAACCAATGAACAGGTAAGTTAATGGATTGTTAATTGTTGCCATTGTCACCATATTCATGTGGAAAATTAAAACAGCACCAAAGTGAATCATGAAGTAAAGGTTAATTGCGATTGAATGTTTCGGATCGTATTTGGTTGATGTTGAATAATCAACTTCAGGAATATCATTGGGATCACCTAATCTTGGTTTTCCTTCATCCCAACCTGGACCTTTAAAGATTATTGATAAACTATGGATTAAACCTTTAGATGATTTCAATCGATTCCAAATATCGATCCAGCCCGAATTTTGAACAGTCCAAACGTCGAAGGTGTTGATTGGATGGACAAGACCGTAGACAATTGGATCTTTTTCCGATTCAAATGTACCAAATAAATGATCCCAAATGGTTAAAAATCCGGCGTAATTTTTATCGATACAATAACGATTACGTCCATGGTGGACACGATGGACACTCGGTGTGTTGAATATCCACTCGATTGGACCCAAACTCGGAATTAGTTCAGTGTGAAGCCAAAACTGGTAAAGTACATTGAGCTGAAGATGAACCAGAAACATTGGCGGAGGGAAAAACAAAGCCATCGGAACGAACCAAAACTGTTGATTAACGAAATTGAAAAAAATCCAAAATTGAACAATTAACTTTCCCTTTTCTAATTGTTACATTTTTCTTACCGCATGGAAATAAACTTGAAGGATTGATTGTCGCGAGGCCGTTGACAAATTGTAATCCTCTGAACTGTGGTGAGTTTGATGAATTGCCCAAAGGAAATTAACCTCTGAAAAGTAAATTGTTGATTATAATCAGAAATCAGAGCAATCATCTTCATGTTTGCCAATCAATTGATTAACTTTCCATTAAATTATTAAATATATGACATGAAAACCAATTTAACTTGTTGTTGTTGTTGTTGCTTCAATAATCTGGTTAATTTGATTTTATTGGTTTGTTGTGTTGAAACAACAATTTAAAATTAAAAGTTTTTCCTGTTAATTGTGTTATTAACTGTAAATAAACTGATTGATTGTTTCTGGTCAAGTCTATTTATGAAGGGAAAGTAATCAAATCCAATTAAGTGAGTAGTCTAAAAGTTAAATTGGCTTCTGTGAAATTAATCATGTAAATGATTATGATGATTAGCACAACATGAAAAATTGATTAACATCACACTAATCATGATAACATGCAAACAACAATCTGAGAGCAACAATAATAAGATTTGACCTCATCTCCGTTTTCAGGTTACTTTTGATATTAATAGAACTTTAATCTTCCTCTTCCCTGTTTATCATCATCATGTTGATTCAGTTTGAAAATGATGCGGATAAAGATAAAAGCTGATGAAAGTTTATTGTCAGAAATTGAAACTTGATTGTAATCAATTGTTTCTCTCTCTCTTTCTTTCCAATTAAATTGTTCATAATTACCATGACTTGCTCGATGGAACCAATAATATGTAAAGTCGAGAGCGACCAATGCAATGAGCCAAGAAGTTACATCTCCATTCAATGAAAATAGAGCAAAATTTTCATGGAAATAAACGTAGAACACAATTAAAAGGCTTCTCATGATAATCCTGTTATATAATTAAGAGAATAATTAATTTCATCTTTCAACTAATTGGAAGAATTCAAATTAAAAGTCAATTGAGGTGAAAGTAAAAAAAAATAAGATGAAACAATCAATATAACGGAACTTATTTTGTTACATTTCTTTAAGCAAATTGACCTGTTTGGCCTCACATTGCATAACATTTCCTTAATTGTCGTATTACATCATTAAAATTGTTAATTACTTATGATTGTCATACTTTAGGTTATTGATTTAATTTCTTATTCGAGTGAAATTATTTTTCACCTTTCTATTTTTTCATCGACTCTGAGATATTAGTTTACTATCAATAATATTAGATGAGATTCAATTTTCAAGTCAAACGATTTAATTAATTGTTAACTTACTTTGATTGTTCCATGAGGATTCCAGCGGCAATCGATGTAAAACTGTCCGTTATTCGAGCCAATTTATAGCCTCTGATTGCGGCGACAATTTGTTCCAATGCCATGAAACATGAAAAATAAGGAATCACTTTCGACACATAATCGGGAACATCTTCGACTCGATGGTAAATATGTTTACGAGGATCAACGAGATAGAAAAGGTAACCGATTTGTTCAATTGTAGTAACAATTAAGTCCATCGTTTTATTGATTAGAATAGTTGATTAGAAAGAGACGAGAAAAAGTCAATGTTGTTTTACAAATTTTCTGATCGTTGATTATTTAGAGCACTTTTTCGTTGGTATTACATGATTAAGAAGAACTGACCTGCACTTCGGTGCGACTAAATTGCGATTTAATTTCAGTTTTCTAAATGTTTATGTTCTCATTTTCAGTTTTCTCACTTGATTAAAACCCGTTTTAAGTGAATCGCGTTTTTTTACTGTTATGCCGATAAACTTAGACTTTCAGGTCAAGCGTGGCCATCTACTGACGACGATATGTTACTACGGGGACCGCGATTGTCAACTAATATTAAGACCTTACAATTAGCTGAATTGAGATTTTTTTTGACCATTTTATTTGCGTAGATAAAGATAGAGATGTTTTCATCATTTTCAAAGCAATGATCTTATTTAGCTTTAAAGATCCCACAATTTGATTGCTCTTTGTATTCCCCTTATATCAAAATGTGATGTTATGAGAAAACAAAATTATAACAATTTTCATTTTTTTTCCAAGTTGTTATTATTATTATTATATTGATGTTGTTGTTGTTGTTTTTTTGTTGTTGTTGTTGTTGTAATTAGCAATTGTAAATTGTGGCAATTTTAAACATTTTAAACAGATTCTAAGACTGGTGGTTCATATTTATCATCTGGTCGATCTACAGCCATTGGCTCTGTTCCTGCACCGGCAGCTCCACTTGCACCAGCGGTACCGGTAGTACCTCCTTTACCATGTCCATGAAGCTCTAATAATTTTGGTAAATCAAATTTAGGTCTCTTCAGCACTTTAACCTTTCGAATACAAACATCATGTAATGGATAAATACGATGACAATTTTTCTCTATATCTTTTGCCATTGAATCAGGAATTAACTTGTTTACAACTTCTTTAAGGTCAGAATCTTTAACCTCTTTTGTAATAATATCCATCATCTTTTTACGAATTGCTCGTACTTGAGTGTGTTGAGCATATGATGTTTTCCTTTTTTGATCAGATGGTTTACGGGTAAATCCTATACAGAAGACTCGTAGCAAATAACCATCGGTTGTCTTTACATCAATGCTCGCCTCAATAAGAGTTTGCCATTTTCTCACCATTGATCGAAGTTTATCTACAACAAACCAAAAGAAAGAAAGACAGAAATATTATTATTAACTTATTAATAAATATAAACAAGATAAATTGATAAATTGATAGAAAGAATCTAAAGAATCTAAAATAAAAGAAAATAAAAGAATATAAAAAGATGATATTCACATCAAACGTGTACACAATGTGAGTAAAGAGTTTTGTTTACGTACCTGTGGTTAAATTCATTCCATGAAAATTGGTCAAAACATTTTTTCCTTGAACTTCTTCGGCAACCAAACGAAATTTACGGAAAGCAACCTCATCATTTTGAAGATCAGCAAGAGAACATTCAAACACTCGTCCCTTTAATCCTTCACTAGCAATTTTAGTTCCTTGTGTCCGATTAACAATTGTTTTACCAATGTGAGGAACCGAGAACATGGAAGGAGCTTTGACATCATACCATTCTTTTCTGGTAAATGGATCAACAATCTTCTTCTTGGCTCCTTTCTTACCACTTTTGGCTAATCCCTTATTCTTACCAACAGCCATATTAACTTATTATATTAATTATTCCTAATTACAATTAAATTTAACAAAACTAAATAAGAAAAAAACACTGATTTAACTAAACAAGTTACATTGGTCAAAAACAATTTTCCAAACACACGGCAAGAAATTCAAGTAAAGAAGGAAACGGAAGCATAAGAAAAGGGAAAATATACTAATCACATTCGGTAAAAAACCGCAAAAATTCTTTTTCTTCAAAATTTTTATTCTCAATTTTTCATCAAAAATTAAATTCTTCAATATTGTCAATTGCTTTTCTTTTTCAAATTGATTTCTGTTAGATTTTCCTCTTAACGATAACCGGAACAATTAATTCAAATTCAAATTTGACTAGAGGTTCAAATCAATTGATCAAACTAATCGGTTAATTGAAGCATCGGTTTTTTGCCGAATGTGATTAGTATATTTTCCCTTTTCTTATGCTTCCGTTTCCTTCTTTACTTGAATTTCTTGCCGTGTGTTTGGAAAATTGTTTTTGACCAATGTAACTTGTTTAGTTAAATCAGTGTTTTTTTCTTATTTAGTTTTGTTAAATTTAATTGTAATTAGGAATAATTAATATAATAAGTTAATATGGCTGTTGGTAAGAATAAGGGATTAGCCAAAAGTGGTAAGAAAGGAGCCAAGAAGAAGATTGTTGATCCATTTACCAGAAAAGAATGGTATGATGTCAAAGCTCCTTCCATGTTCTCGGTTCCTCACATTGGTAAAACAATTGTTAATCGGACACAAGGAACTAAAATTGCTAGTGAAGGATTAAAGGGACGAGTGTTTGAATGTTCTCTTGCTGATCTTCAAAATGATGAGGTTGCTTTCCGTAAATTTCGTTTGGTTGCCGAAGAAGTTCAAGGAAAAAATGTTTTGACCAATTTTCATGGAATGAATTTAACCACAGGTACGTAAACAAAACTCTTTACTCACATTGTGTACACGTTTGATGTGAATATCATCTCTTTTTATATTCTTTTATTTTAGATTCGTTTAGATTCTTTCTATCAATCTATCAATTTATCTTGTTTATATTTAATTAATTAGTTAATAATAATATTTCTGTCTTTCTTTCTTTTGGTTTGTTGTAGATAAACTTCGATCAATGGTGAGAAAATGGCAAACTCTTATTGAGGCGAGCATTGATGTAAAGACAACCGATGGTTATTTGCTACGAGTCTTCTGTATAGGATTTACCCGTAAACCATCTGATCAAAAAAGGAAAACATCATATGCTCAACACACTCAAGTACGAGCAATTCGTAAAAAGATGATGGATATTATTACAAAAGAGGTTAAAGATTCTGACCTTAAAGAAGTTGTAAACAAGTTAATTCCTGATTCAATGGCAAAAGATATAGAGAAAAATTGTCATCGTATTTATCCATTACATGATGTTTGTATTCGAAAGGTTAAAGTGCTGAAGAGACCTAAATTTGATTTACCAAAATTATTAGAGCTTCATGGACATGGTAAAGGAGGTACTACCGGTACCGCTGGTGCAAGTGGAGCTGCCGGTGCAGGAACAGAGCCAATGGCTGTAGATCGACCAGATGATAAATATGAACCACCAGTCTTAGAATCTGTTTAAAATGTTTAAAATTGCCACAATTTACAATTGCTAATTACAACAACAACAACAAAAACATCAATATAATAATAATAACAACTTGGAAAAAAAAATGAAAATTGTTATAATTTTGTTTTCTCATAACATCACATTTTGATATAAGGGGAATACAAAGAGCAATCAAATTGTGGGATCTTTAAAGCTAAATAAGATCATTGCTTTGAAAATGATGAAAACATCTCTATCTTTATCTACGCAAATAAAATGGTCAAAAAAAATCTCAATTCAGCTAATTGTAAAAATTCGGATTCAACTCAAACGCGATCAACAATTAAATCATAATATCATATCTTAAGTAAAACGTCGGCAAATGAATCGCAAATGTTTAAATTCAGTTTTAATGAGTCGAGAAGTTTATTTTCTGTTTCTTTTTCCTTTGCCTTTTACTTGTGATTTATGCCTATGAATTACCAGGTGTTGAGGGCGATGGATTAGCCTTTTTTGACTCTTCCTCTTCGTTGAAATTAAGCCAACTTTGTTCAACTATGGCTGCTACTCTTTTCTCATATTCTCTACGATTCTCTTGGTACAATTGGGCTGCCAATGAGTTTGCTGGTGAGTTAGGATTAGGTTCGTCTAAGAGCGATTGAATAGAGGTTAGAATGGCTGAAACATCATAAGTGGGTGACCATCGATTTTGTAGAATATCTAAACATATACTTCCATCAGCATAGACGTTTGGATGAAACATTTTGGACACAAAGCGAACGGTAGGAGGCTTATTGGGATATTCTTCAGTGAATTCAAGAGTTAACTTGAAGGTTCCATCTTCGAATGGGGTGTCATGAGGCCCGAATATAACAGCATTCCAGATCATTATGTTATTGTCTGTGGGTGCACCAGAAACACCAGCAGGAGGATCTTCTTGAAGCCTCTTAAAATCTCTCATTAGTCTTCTTCTAGCTGGAGTTGACATCAGTGAAGGTTGATTAGACTTTTGATGATTGGCCTTTAATTTAAATCACAAAAACAAAAACAGAAAAAGAGACAGAAGGAGCGAGAGCTAAACAAAGGAGAGAATGTAAAATAAAGAGAGAGGGAGAGAGAGAGAGAATAGATGAAGATACAGAAAAGGGAGAGAGAGAAAAAAAGAGAAAGAGAGAGAGAAAGAAAGAAACAGTTGTATATCAATGACGATGCAAGACTCGATTTGAGTGATGAATTTTCTCAATCCAAATTTCCTTCTTTTCTTTATTATTATTATTGTTCTTTTGATTGTTTAGTTGATTAATTTAATTGTTCTTTCTATTAATCAAATTAAATCAAATTCACTTTAGATTTTGAATAAACACCAACAGGTTAAAATGAAGAAAACAAAACACAAACAGTAAAAAAATATCAGTGATGCAAAAATATTTTGAAGAGCTTTTGCTCCGCTGACTTAACAGCTGCTCCCACTTTACGTGGCTCCTGCATTAGGAGTCGACCGTTGGTCTTCGAGCTACCCCGTAGGCTTTGAATCGGCTGTCAGTTGCTTCTATTTCCATAGCCATTTTCTTCACATGATTAGTTATTTCTCGATAATTTGTTTTCTTAATTATCCAACCTTTTTTCGGTTTCCAGTCTTTGCACTTCTTTAAGTGTGTAATGTTCATTTCATTCGGACATTTGTGTTCTAGTTGGTTAATGTTGATTTCTACTAATCTTATATTTCTCATAAATGTTCGCATGTACTTGAATTTCCCATTTCTCATGAAAATCCATTTGTTTCCATTGAATATCATCTTCATTAGTCCGTGTAGTGATGATTTAAACAAAGCTTTCTCTCGGTTTTGTAAGTCTTTTTTCACCATATTTTTGATTTGTTTCGATGTTTTTAGGGTGTTCAATTTCTTTGTCGCTTTTATCTCATCACATTTATCATGATCGGTTAACAACTGTACTTCAATCGACGCGTTCATGGTTATTTTGTTCAGTTCTTCTTTACAATATCGACCCATTTTTAGATTCGTTTTGATCAGCTGCGGACATGGTTTACCTGTCTCACCTTTCTCAGTTACCAGTGTGATTATAGTCATTTCTTTATCAAAATTTGATTTGATTCCATTTACTTCATAATGTTCGTGTTCATTATTGTATTTCCAACAGTATACGTTGTTTGATATTTCCGTAATTGTCCCCTCTTCTCGTTCTTTAACTGCAACCTTTAGCGTTTTTTGCCAATAATCAATTCTTATGTGTTGTTTGATGTTTGGCATCATATCGGCTAGTGGGAACTTTGATCCCTCGCATTCATTTCGCCAGAGGCTCATGATGATCCTTGTAATGTAGTTAATCGCCGGATTGGGTAGCCCATAGATGAACTCAAACCATGGATTTCTGTATGAACCATTATCAATTATCTTCATCGTCAGAATTCGTCCCATTTTGAGTATTAGATCAATTCTATATTTGGTGAAGTTGTTTTTGTACCATGGTGATAATCCGAGGCTCATCATTATCGGATCAAGGTATGCATAGTATATTGTACTCATTTGTTTCAGGTTCATCTGTCTAATCATTTTCTTCATCTGGTTATTTAGCTTGCACCTACCACATAATCTATTTATCACTTTGTCATGGTCTGCGTGAAATTTGAGGTCAAAGCCTAGCAAGGTCTCAGGTTGACCTGGTAATCCTGTCATGTTGATTTTGAAGTGTTTCGTCTTCTTTTCATTGAGCGATAGATTGATTTGTTGTATGGCATTTTTGATTTCTATTAACGATTCTTCTCTGTTGTTTGTTAGGACGATTATGTCATCAGCGTAGCTGATGATCATTTGATTACTCGGATTTCGGTTCAACCAGCGCATTGTGTTGTCCATCCCGATGGCGAATAGAAGCGGTCCAAGACCATATCCTTGTAGACCTTCAGGGTCGCAACTAACCTTAAGATTACCATTTTCAAAGCAGCGGATCTTTCTCTGTAATACAAATTGTTTAATCATTCGTTGTGTTTTTAGGTCTAGACCATTCAGTCTTTCAAGTATCGCTTTTCTTGAGATTTTGTCGAAAGCTTGTGTGATGTCAGTGATCATTTTAAAGGTGTATTCATCTTCGTATTCATGTAGCTTAATCAGTAGGTCCAGTCTATCTTGATTAAGGTATGCGAATTGTAAGTCACTACAAATTATGTCATTTGTACTAATCCATTTTTTCACCCTGTGTAGCAGTATTGTATCCAGCATTTTCGATAGAAAACATTGAGTCCTAACGGTTCTCGTGCGTCCATCGCCTTTTGGAATTAAGGTACCCCCACTTATCAGCAGACAATTCGGAATTCGATTGGTCTTGAAGATATCGTTAACCAGCCTGATTATACCTGCATGATATTTCTCCCAGACGAAATTCCACCTTCGTTTTGAAAAGGCATCAGCCCATCCCGAGCTTGTTTTAAACCTCATTTTCTTCAGTATGGTTATTTCGTCTTCTTCAAGGCCATTCATCATTTCCCATCCAGGTGATTCAGATGATGTCTCCCTCATCCATGGGATCAACAGTTGCTTTTCTTTAATCATATTGTCCATGTCGCCAAGCTCACTTCTCAGGCGTCCAAAAATCTTGTATATTGATGTCATATCCATTTCCGCAATAGGTATCGGTTTGTTTTGTCTGTTTCGGTAATCGTTCAGTTCGCTTCTAATTTTCTTTTTGTCCTCTTTATCTTTTGCCATCTTTAGTCTTTTCCGTATTCGCCTTTCTTTTCTGTTGCAGTGTAACCATTTTCTTTTATTTGTTGCTTTCCCAAGGTTCATTAATCCTGATACTCTTTCCGCAACACTGCCTCTGTCCGTCCATATATCGGAGTATCTGTAACACCACGTTCTGAACAGCTGATCGGTTTTGGTGCTGAATTTGATTTTGAGAGTTGCAGAGATTATTTTGTGATCGAGGTAGTTTACATCTTTGTATTCCGGTTTACACTCAAAGAATTTACCGTTGAAGAGGATGACGTCGATCATGGATCTGCATGTGCCTTTTTTGTTTATTCGTGTCGTACCTTCAGCTCTGTCTTTTTTCATCAGCGAATAGAATTGTTTGGCTTCAAGGGCGTTGATCAATTTGTTTACTTGCTCTAATGGTATCTTATAATCCCACCTACGTGGATTTTCAGCCCAAATTTTCGTCTCTAGATTCAGGTCTCCCACAAGAAACGTGGGAATTCCCGTTTTTAGATTTTTCAGAGATTCTGTGAGTTCTCTCATTGTTGTCGTATTGCTCGGAGAGATATAGCAACTTATTAGTCCTATCACACATTGTTTTTTCCTCCAATATGTTATAATCACATTATCACCGCCTCTAATCGTTTTAGTTAAGTGCCAGTCGTATGTAGCGTATATAGCTATTCGTTGTCCCCTGATTATGTTTGGCGACAAATTTGTTCCCTCGTCTTCGCTGGTCACCACAAAACAACTTGTTTGTTTCAGCATATCCCTTATTATGGTGTACGAATCTTTTTCATTCTTCCGCATTAGGTTCACACAATTAATTTTGATTTCCATTATAATAAAGTTTAATTGTCACAATGTAATACAAGTACATTAATTATTGTCACTGTTACAAGAAATGTTTTCTTCCAGTTTGAATTTTGACTCGTTGTTTGTCACTTGAACAAAAGATTTAAACTGAGTCTTCGCGTTCTTGACCCAAAAGAAAGACTTTATATCAGTTTGTTTCCAGATTTCCATCGTTAAGTTGCCATCGACCATGACTTCTATCCAGTTTGCAATGGTGACCTTTGCTCCTCTGTTAACTGCTTCACTTATCCATCTTAACTGCGGGAGATGTTCAAACTCATCAACTGCGACAATAACTGAGGCACCATTGTCATCGATCTTGTGCCAAACATTGATTTCATCTGTTAGAGTGAGGAAGTTTTCCAATGTCAATCTGCAATGAAAAAATACAACATCAAGATTATCATAAGAAAAGCAGAGTTTTTCATTGTCAAAGAACATTTTGTTTTGTCAGTTCTATATTCTGGTTCAGTTATCTATACTCTAGTGACTAAAAGTTTCTGTCGTCTTGCTTATAAAGGTTACTTTTTGCCATTTATCTCGTTAAGAGAGGAAGAGAAATGAAAATGACAAGTCAAGGATTTACGATGGTTTTAATGGTTTTATTGGTAGTAATTTCGTGTTACAATACTGGGTTAATATAAGTTTGTTAGTCGGACAGTCGAGTTTTCTCTTTCATTTATCTGCTTGGGTTAGTTTATTTTTTATTTTACGAGCGTGATTGGATAAGGTCTCTTCTAGTAGTGATACATTTTTCCTATTAGTCTCATCTCTGACAAAAAGTCTTTTCTTCTCTCCCTTGATCAGAAAGTATTCTTCACATATAACGTTCAAAAGTTCTTCTCCAATTTCAATGTCTTCCAGATCAATTTCTAGCCAATTCCAGATTGTTGTCTTCGCGCCCTCCATTATTAGTCTTTCCATCAGTTCGATTTGTTGTTCGAGCACATTTTTGTCTTTCTCAATAGCGATCAGCGTTTCCAAATCACCACTTTCCTCTTTAATGCACCAAACACTTGTCGTTGATTCACTTATTTCGATTGTCTTTTCCAGCACAAATTTGAGCACAACTAATGGTTTATTTTTTCCTAGTTTGAATGAGAGCCAGTCACGTAAGTAAAGTATCATTTTACGATGAAATGTGTTAACGGTAGAGGTTAAATATTTTTAAGTTGTAAGTAGGTTGAGTCATCCACTTATGAGAGATTTGAGCGAGAGTCTCGCTTAAATAGTCCCATTGTGTTTGCTCTAAATTTAATTTTTATAATAAGCCGGGACTTGATTGTTTGTTTAGCTGGTTAAATAGAAGTACCAGGTCAACCCCTTTTACAGTCCCATCGCATTATTGACCTTCTCTCCTTGGAGTATCTTCAATGACCGGTGGAGCAAAAGAGCTCACTCTGATTGTAGGGTAGGTGATCGAGGAATTTCTCAAGGCGAATTGTCGATGTATGTTGATCGTTCTGCATTTTAGATAGTGATTTGATGGATGATTTGCTGGTCTCGTGGTTCTGGCACAGTCAGCGCATTTGGGAACACCATTGCAGTAACCATTTCTTCGAAATCTGTGACAGACAATTTCTCCACAAACGCTGCAATGAGGACGTGAACATTCATGTACTTGATCAGCAAAGAAGTGGACGCAGCAAAGTGGACATTGCTCTAATCCAAGATTGTCAGCAATCTGATATTCTTCTCCTTCTATCACTACCGACCAGTCGTAGGCGGCCAGTTCATCACGAGAGTTACTACATGTGAATGTGACTCTGATCATTCCGTCAACCATGATATCAACTGCAGAGACCTTGAGATCGTCCCAATTTATCTGAGAGCCCATCATCCATTCTTCAGTTTCTTTGGGAGTGTTTAATTCAGGGTTGGTGTGATAGACGAGAAATGAGGGGCTTCTATCGTTGCATATAACACATGAGAAAGCATTGCTTCGCCACCATTCGCTTTCAATTATTGTCTTTTGAAAATCCTCAAACTTGTCCAGAATGACACATACCATGATGTAGTTGTTGATAACTTTGGGTCGTGTCATCGCCCATGTTTGAAAACCTATTGTTGTTGCAATCAGTTCAGCGAGAGTGTTGAGCTCATTGATGTTATTTTTCTTAGATAAGAAACGTACTTCCACAACTTGCTCAAAACTGGATTCGCATATAATACGTTTTCCAAGTATACCGACTTTAAGTCCTTGTTCACTTAATTGGGCTGATTCATCCATTCTTCTCGTTGATATTCAAATGATGTAACAAACGGTTGTTGTTGAGATGTAGTTTAATGAACTTGATGAAGACGTGATTGTAGGAGACTCGTAGAGGTGATAGAGTTTAATTTGATGTTAGAGAGAGATAATAGGATAAGTGAAGATAAGAATCAAGCAGAATAATGTAAATTGTATTTGATTGTGGGTTAGTGAAATAGAGTGTAACTAATATTAATGTGTTCAAAGTGTGATTAAGGGTTCAAGTTGATTACTGGAGGATTAATGAGAAGAACATTCTATTCTTTTCTATTAATCACTCTGATGGTGGCGCCACCTTTAATTAGAGTTTAATCGAGAGCCTCATCGCCTTTTTATCCCCTTTGGCGAAGGTCTCTTTGTTGATAAGTCGATTGACGAGATTTTTGTTGATCTGCTGCATGTCTTCGACTTCTAGGTAGATAAGATGTTTAAGCTTCTTACAGTTCTTGAGGCGATTCATCAATTTAAGAACTTTAGTGTTATTGTCTTCCTTCTGAAGATCTTCAATAGCATCAAGTCCATTATAGAAGGATTCTTTGTATTTAATCATCAGACTCAAGTCTTTGGTGAGATTATTACGAGTTGTTCGTTTCATACCGATGTCAATCCTATTACATTTCTCATTGAATCGAGTCATTCTCACACATCCAATCTCCTCCTCATGCCATTTGTTGAAATGAAGTAGTTGTCGTTTGATGACCGAGGGTACTGAGCAGTCATAGGTAGACACATAAACATAAACGTTGACCTCATCTAGTTCCATTTCCAGTGGATTCGTATCTACGTAGTTCTCCAGTTCGGGTTCACATAGCGACAATGGTAGTTCAAAGGCCATGTTTTCTCCTGTTAGTTGTCTCATTAATTCTTGATATCTTTCCTTTGAGGGTAACTTGAGCTTTGATCTATCAAAGAGATCCAATGTTTCTTCCATGTTAACGCTCTTGGTGTTTTGGTTTCTGATGTTTAAGAAGAGTTTTATTTTAAACACAACACAGTTCAGATGACAAAATTTAAGTTTATTTTTATTAGATTGTTGAGTTTGGTTACAATTTAGAGGATAAATAATGAGGTTATCAATGGATATCAGTTGAGTATTGAAGATTTGATAAAATAACTATGACACGTAGAATCAGGTTTGTTTACATTTGATCCGCTTGTGTCTCCATCTCTGGGTCATATCATTCTTCTAGAGTTAGATGTCTTAGAATTACCGCCGAATATGAGTGATTAACTCGTAAAAGTGACATTTTTAGTTGTCTTTTGAGTTCTGGACAAGATTTGTCCCAGGCGTTGTGACCAGGTTTGCCTCCACATGGTTGGCAGCGATGTAGGTCTTTCTCTTTTTTGTTCGGGCATTCGAATGATCTGTGTGGTTTGCAGCAGTAAGAGCATGTGATAAGTGCTTTGCACTTGTTTGTCTTATGCCCCCATCTTGAGCATTGGTAACATAATGAGAGATCTAGATGATCAAAGAATGGGATCTTCTTCCAACCTACACTGATCATCCCTCTCATTTTATTTGAGTCCAGTGCTGAGCGAATATGAGATGGAATTTGAATGATCATTCTCGTGGTTTTAGGTCTCTGTTCTATGTATACCAGCTTCATTTCCTCCTCCGATGTCCAGTCATTCCATCGTTTTAATTTCTCAAACCAGCTTCGACATTCTTCATCTTTCCCGAATTTCTTTTCAATGTCAATATTAATTTTTGGGTGTGTAAGTTTGGGTATTTCAATTTTGAAATCATCAGTTGTATTCGTGATGTTGAATAATTTTTTGAGGTCTTCGATCACTTTGTCTCTTATTGTGGTATTAGATACGATGATCTTACAGCATGATCTCGCTGGCTCCATTGAGACAATATCAAGATTGATTTCCGAGTTTTCTACCAGTTTTTTAAGTCGATCCCTTGTAATTAGTCCGTTCTCTATGACAGTTTCTTTCATCGATGCAATCAGTATGAGCGGTTGTAGTTCGATGTCTTCCGTGTTCAGCCACCACTTCGGTTTTGTCCAATTGTTGACATATCTAATGTTTAGTTCGTTCTTGTTTTTTCCTTGTTGTTCGATAGAGTCCATCGTATTGAAATTTGATCTTACGCTGGACTTTCGTTGTAGTGGTGTTGTGAGCAGATTTATCCAGCGGTGAATCTCCTCTTGTTGTTGATGATTAGATTCACGACTCAGAATTGATATTATCTCGTCTATTTCTTCAAAGGAGGAACTTTCTTGGATGACTTTGAGATAGTTTTCCGGTTCTTCTCCTTTGATCAGTTCATTAAAGTACGAGAGAATGGTGTTTGTATCTGGTGATTCAAGTGATCTACATGTTTCGCTTTCTTCAGTAATGGCATTCGAATCCAGTAGTAGCGAGTTGGTTTTTTTGGGTTTTTTCGTAGGAGCCATTCAATTGTTGTGTCAAACACTTTTATTATGTATAAGCACTTGTACAGAGATAAGGAAGAGGTAAGAGGAGAATTATGTTACAAGTCAATGTTGATTAAATTCAATAACATTAAGGTTGTTGTGATTCACAGATGTTCATTATAGTTAGTGACCAGATTTAGTTAGTACTTGTTTATATAAGGTTCATAACATCATTGTTCTTGCCTCTTTTCTATAAGAATTGTTTTGTAGACAAATTCCATTTTCTCAAGTCTACTTAGTAACCGTGCTTGAAAATTCCTGCAATAAAAGTAATAGGCTGAGTGTCCATAGGCAAGACATGAAGGGCACCGCCATTTATTTGGTTGATTCTTGAGATCACAGCAGAGATAGTGATGTTTACCACTGCATCTTGCACATTTTATGTTACCATCGCATTTCCTGCTGGTGTGAGAATATGAATAGCAGATTTCGCATCTTTCTATTTGAAAGAAGTCAGAGAAAGGAAATTCTCTGCCATAAAGTTTAATAGTTTTCACAAGTTTCTGTCGATCTTCATTAGATAGCATTATAATAGCCGCATCCACCTGGTTCCCTGAGTGTATCCTCAAAAGGCTGGTCTTATCATCAAATTTATTATCTGCCTTTAGGTCATCCATCGCCTTGCCAATGTTAAGGCCTTTTTCTATATAGACTTTGATCATTGGCATTCTCGAGAAAGGTAAGCTAAGTATCCAATTAACTTTGTTCGGGATCGTGTTGAGCAGTTTTACATTATCATCTGTGACCAATCTGACGCAATTTCTGCCATAAAGTATTTTCTTAATTCCAGGGTGTGTAGATAGTGAAGGTTTTACTATCGCTTTTGTCCTATATGCATCTAAAAAGCCTCCGTTGTCATCCTGTATGCGAAGCACTATAATCCTACTCGGTGTGATTTTTGGAGCACTGACTTCCACAATATCAATTGGCACTTTCATTATTTGAGTTATACTTAGATTTTCAATTAATTTTCAATTTATATTAATTTTATATTAAACAGTAAAAGTAGACAGAGAAGATAAACAAAAAGAGAGAGAGAGCAGTTGATTAGCTCTTATGAGAAAATTTACAAAAATCAACAGATGGAGACACAAGTAAATTTGAGAATTTGTAACAATAAAATATTCTGATGCTCTTACGATTCCTTTGATCGTTCGGACACAATTCCATCAAGGGATCCGACGATTCTTCTTGGTAGAGATCCTCAGGTTGCTAAAAGTAAATTCTATCACTGGTTGGATGTCGAAAGATTCGAGGAAATAATCAGTGAATCTTTAGTTCTCAAGGCCATTTCCAAGGTTCGATATCGAAAACGGGTTGAGAATATTGGAGAGCAAGTCGAGAATTCTAATATCAACAAATATGCTCGAACGAAAATTTTCTCTGATTAACTGAATATGAATTCTAAAGAACAGTGTGACGAACAAGTTAATCGCAATAATTAAGTGGCTTTGATTACATTTAATTAGATTAACGGTTAACCGAGTTATGTAAATGACAAACAGTTAAACGTGAAACGAAATATTTTTTGCTTTTAATTGTAATTGATTATTGAACATTTGATGCAGATTGCGAGTTAAGAGTGAACTTGATACATAATTAGCTTAAATGCTATTAATTAAATCGTATTAAGAATATATAATTATAGCAAATAATGTGAGGATTCAAATTAAATCATTTTAAATTGAATGTTTAACGTTTATAATAACATCAATCCGTTAATTTTTGGAACTGACTTAGGAAATGAAAGTATTCCAATGATAATTTACTTTAATTACAAAACTTCCAGATCTACATGACGAAGTTGAGGATGTTTTTTCTGAAACAAATAGAAATTGAAAAGAGAATATTAAAATTAATGACTAATTGTGAGTTAATTTAAAGAATAGAATGTTAATTACTTTTAATTCTTTCTCAACTCGATCGATTTCAGCTCCAAGAAGATCGACAATATTTTCACCATGTTTAAGGAAAAACGTTTCAACCTGATCGATGTTTTTCAATTCTTGCATTTCCTAGAAAAGAGATTGAGAAAAGCAAACAATTAGTAAATTGTGCAAATTAAAACTCTCTGGTTAATTATATTCAATGGGAAATTTTCATTCAATTTCATGAAAGAACCTTGAACAACGAGAATAATATTAATAATAATCTGTTATTCAAGGTTAATCTTATTGTTATTTTCATCTTAATGTTGAGTACTAATCAAAATCTAATTTTAACTGATTAACAGATGGATTGGCAGACAGTTGATTATTGATTACGTGAGTCACGAAAATTTTGTTTCGATTAGAGGATAATCCGAACCAAGAACGAAAAGCTAAATAACAATAAGATTAAAAAGCGATTGTAACAAAAAAATAATTAATTTACTTGAAGAACCGCTTCTAAATCAATAGCATCCAGATAGTGTCGAGTTAATTGTCTACCATCAATATCAACTTCGGCCTTATAACGGACCATCCCGTTACCCAGATCAGTCGCTTTTACATCATGAATCGCTCTTATCATAACATCACTTTCCATCATCTTATTGATTGCATCCAATTTATAATTAGGAATTGATCGACCAACCAAAGCACCACTATTGGTGTAAATAATGAACGAGGCCACTGAGGCCAGTAATCCGCTGACTAGAAGTGATCCAACTGCATCATAAAGTGGATTACCTGTGTAAGCAGTTAATCCCATCATACCCCCGGCGATAGCAACACCCAAAACGGCAGCAGTGTCTTCCAATAAAACAACATTGATACTTGGATCTTGACCTCGAAGAACTGAAATTTGGGAAGAAACCAGAAAACAATTGTACAAATTAACTTAATTTTCCATCTTTCGAAAGTAAAAAAAAAGCAAATCAACTAACTGTAATCTTTCATTGTAGTTCCAGCTCTTTGAGCTCCTTTATTTAATCCTTTGAAGGCGACAATTAGAGTAGCACTTTCAGATAAAAGTGATCCAAAGAGAATGAGATAAGCCTGAAAATAGAATAGATTTTTAATTGAATTTTCCAATCAAGAAATGACGTTAATTACCCAATAAAATGATTGAAATGTCTCTGGATGAAGAATCCCTTGCATCCCATGATAAAATGAAAGACCAGAACCAACACAGAAAATACCAACTCCAGAAATGAGAGATGCGATATATTGAGCTGAATGATAACCATAAGGATGCTCAGCATTTGGTCGTTGAATTGATTTTCTTATTCCAAAGTAAAGGATTAGCTGATTAACTGTATCAGCTAGGGAATGAATGGCTTCAGCGAATAGAGAATGTGATCCAGTATGGAACCAGGCCATTGTTTTGAGTAGAAAATTTGTTGAGTTAATTACGACCGCTGTCCAAACAACATGGCCACTTTCTCGTAAGGATAAATCACGTTCTTGGGCAACTGGATCATTAAGACGACGATAATCTTTAAGAATCCGTTTAACATTGAGAATTGATTCCCTGGCATCAGCTTCTATTTGTTTCCTTTTTTTCCTCTCCTTTTCAAGAACTTCGATACTGCCCCATATTTGTAAAGCTCTCGCCTCAACATCCCTCCTCAAATAAACGGTCAACGGTGGGGTGTCTTCAAATGGACTTCGTCGGATAAATTTCCTCAAATCTTGTAAATCCAATGGTTTCAATAGATATTCATTCATTGCTCTCACTGGTGTAACAAAATTACGTTCTGTTGTTGCCTGAGTCAAGTCCAATTTCTTTCTCTCCTTTGCTTTAGGAATAACTAACAATAAGAAAATACAAAAAAAGAAAAAGAAAAAGAAAACTCAAAATTAGAATTGCGAATATTAAACAATAATCATGAGAGAATTGAGTGTTCACCTTTTATAACTGGTTCTGAGAAAATTGGTTTAACCTCTTTGGTTTCATTTTCTTTTTCCGAATCATTTGATGGAGATGATGTTGAAGAAGATGAAGATTTAATTGAATCTGATGGACCATTTTTAATAGAATCACTAAAATGAGAAATGGAAATTTTTTCACATAAAATACAAGGTGAACAGCTGATTAGTGGTACAAATTTTTTATCACATTTGAAACGATTAACATGTCTCACAGCGAGACCAATTAAACTTAGCCTATTGGTTATACATGCTGTAGACATTATGATGACCAATGGTCAATAATTAAAACAAATTAACTTAAATTAACAAAACAATCATTAAATAAAATACATTGAGAAAGGACTAAAACTGTTACACAATCAAATCGGTTTGTTGACAAAACAACAAAATCGGAATAGTTGGTAAAGTGTCTCATAGATGGAGCGACTTGTGGCTCAATTAGTTGATCATTTGAACAACAATTAAATTTACTGTTAAATGATTTTCTTAATTACTTTGTTCAACCAATTGTATTTTACTCTCAAGGTGATTCGATGTGGTTTCAAATAGTGAAATTGATGAACAATTAAACGGTTCTTATTACCTATTAACTCATTTGGTGTGAAAACAATTGTTTTTTTTTTGATTTAATTGTAAGTTAATTGTTAACTTTAATTAGCGAGTTTATAATTAGAACTAATCGTCTTTTTATAATTTATTAATTGGTAAGTAAATGTGGTTTCAATTTTCATAAGAAATCATGATTTTGTCAGATGATCGTTTTAAGAATATTGAAACGAATAGTAATTGTCAATTACTTATTGTTTTAGTGAGATTTTTGATTGCCAAATTATTTAGTTCATTTTAAATATTATTGGTCTTTAATTTTGTATTTATAAGGCATTTAAATAATTGTTTGTGTCATGGATAGATAATGTATAATATTATAAAAAGGATTTAAATTGAAATCGAAAGGGTTAAAAACTATCATTTAAAAGCACAATGTGAATGAGGATTTAAGAAAATATGAAATTTTGATTATTATAAAAAGAGGACTTTTCCTTGGGTGATCGTAAATGAGATTTATCAGATTAACGGCACAATTGGATTGTAGAAATTCAGATCATTAGTGAGATAATGGAAGACTTATGTAAATGCATCAGGTAAATGTGGTGGTTTTGATTGATTGTATTTCCAACCGTAGTTAAGAATTAATTTATGTAAGATCATAAATCGTCCGTTTGGAATTGACTTAAGGCTTTAAGAGGAGAATCGGTTCGTTTTTGTGAACCTTTACGAACTTTGGCTCTAACCTCTTCCGGCTTTTCTCGACGAACCAAAGGTTTCTTTTCGGGAGCTCGCATCTTCCAAACAACAAGAGGAGTCTAAAAGCCAAAAAAAGAGAAACAATTTAATGATTACAATTAACAAGTTACAAAAAAATCAAGTTGTATCAACTGTTAGATACGATAAATTTGTAAATAAAACTTACACTGATGATTCCTCCTCGTGGATACTAAAAGTATAGAATGAGAAAGCAATTGAAAAAAAAGTAAAGAGATAAAATTGATAATTAATGAAACAAGATTCTAAATTAACTATTGAATTATTAATGTATTGTAGTTGAGAGTTAAATTATAACGGTTTAAATTACCTTGGTGGAGGCAACATAGGAAGCTTTAACTGTTAAGACCACAGCATTCATCAGATTTTTAGCTGCCTGGATAAGAGATGTAGCCGAATCCAACTGTAATGATTAAGCAAATTTTATATTAAATTGAGTGATTAAAGGTTCGCATGGGAATTGTTAACGGAATCAAAAATAAAGATTTCAACTTACCCCTGAAACAATCAAGTTTCCTGAAATGTTTTGAACATCAGCTTTTACTTTTGATGTGATGTTTAATTGTTGACAATATAATTCAATCCTTTTAAGATAAGCAACCAAATCTTTCTTGGTATCTGATTCTGGACATTGTTCAGCAATTAGACCAGCTAATTTGTCCAAGGTTGTTCCAAGTTCAGAGATCTCTTTTGCTTTACCGATCACATCCATGGTTGTTTTCAATGGTCCTTTACCTCGAGTGAATTCGTCATTTCGATCATAATGTAACACATCTTCTTGGCGATCACAATTATATCGTTACCCTTTTCGTCCCATTTAGCAACCTCTCGATCGAATCGAACCTTTTCAGTTCTAAATGTTTCAAATTGAGCTGCAATTTTTTGCTTCTCCTCTTCGGAAATCATTCTATAAGCTTCTCTGGTGTTACTGATTCCATTAACATCGGGATATTCATCGAAATCGGTTATAACACTTGATTTACTTCGAGTTTCATAAGTATTATCTTCATATTCCATTTCTGTTTCAGAATCCATTTCTTCAACGGCTCGGTCAAACAGAACAGCTCTTCGTATCTCTCTTACTCCATCATAAACCATTCGCGAGGAATCAATAAATTGATTATCGTCCAAGTCTTTCAATTGATTGTTACTTAAAAGTTCAACAGCCTTTTCCACTTTACCAGCAAACGAAGGCATAATTGTATTTCTTAGTTCATTAACTGCTGCCAAAACCCGTTCGGTGTATTCATTAGGCTCATAATTGTCCATTTCTGCTGTAACAACATTACAAACACGAGCAGCACGTCCTCTGATAGCTCCAGCCATTCGGTCAAGATTGTCACCATCATGTTCCCCAAGTGCAGAAACACATTCTTTAACATCTTCGAGAATATGACTTTCAGAAACGGCTAAAAAGTCATCGATCGTTGTAATGTCATCAACGGCTTCGGTTAAGATTCTAACCTGAGTTTCCCAAAGGTTTTTGAAAGCGTCCATATTTTCAATGGCTACTTTTGAATTAGGTCGAGCTGCAAGAATCTTGGCTGCATTTATGACCTGCGGGCAAAGATTTTTTATCTGTAAGGCTGCGTATCTGACCATTCTAACACCTTCCTCGTTATTGGACATACTACAGGCAAGATTTGCGACTTCAACCAATTTGTTTGCGTGTTCCTCAAACATGGCTTGATAAGTTTCCACCTCATTGATGTCTCCACGACGAGCAGCAGCATCCAAGACCAGTAGCGGAACATTAGTTTCCAAGAATGAATCGGAAACATGATCGATAATCGCTTTTCTCAATTGTCTCCTTAAATCTTTTGTCTTTTGTGTCATATGTTCAACAGCTCTTTCCAAATTATCGGATGGCTCATGAGAACCAACATTGGCAAGATATTCGGAAAGAAGATCCTGAAGAGCTTGACGAACAGCATTACACTCGGCGACGATTCTCTCTCTTCTTATATCACGAGTACAAGATGAATCTGCCATTAAAGCTGCTCCACTGATGATACTTTCCAACTGTCTCTCTAAATCGGGTCGAGTGGTTGATTCATTGTAAGTCAATGGCTCCATCACTACTCTCTCATCAAAATCATCCAAAGCCGCTGCCATTTCTCCGGGTATATCATAAGGATCGGTCAGAGTTTTGGGTTTGTTACCCTTAGCAACATCTCTGACAGTGTTAACAGCCTCACAAACTTGTTTAAATATGAAATCACGATTCTCTTTGGCAGCGGATAATTCAGGGTGACGGACAAACACCTTAGATGCGGTTAGAAGCATCATACTGTTTTTCTTGAGAACAGCTCGAGCAGCACCAAGATCATCTCTTAATTTTGAATCTTTAAGCTCATTTTGACGTTTAGCAGCATGATAGAACATGTTATTAGCATTAAGTCCAAATTTATTAAAATGCTCAAGAAGCTCTTCTTGATTGTTAGCATTTGCCACATTATTGAGATCACCTTCAACTGCTTCCAAAGATTTGAGTAAAGATTTTACGTCAATTTTATCGGCAAGAATTATCAGCTCAGCGACACGATAGAGTAAATTTCTTGAATTTTGCACCATTTTATTTCTTTTAACAGAAGAAAATGGATCATCGGCAAATTCTCTAGAAGCCTCTGACATATTCTTACCCGCTTCACGAATCTTATCAATACAACCATTCATTTCTTCTTGAAATTCATCATTTTCACGGGCGATCTCTTCGGCAACGGTGATAAAATTTTCAGTCGCCTTTTCAATCGTAGCCACCAGAACTTGAGGTCTAGTTGATCGCCCACCTTTCTTTCTTTCCGATGTATTGACAAGTGTAGTTACCTTTAGAAGAAAAATAAAATGAGATTAAAAGTCAAATAGAAAAGAAAAAAAAAAATGGAAAATGAAAAAAGAAAAAAAAAAAGAAAACAAAAAGATACAACACATACCTGGAGAACCAAAGGAGCCAATGTTTCTTCGATCGATCGCGTTTCTATTCTCAAGGCCATATTTTAATTAAAAATGTAACAATTAACTAATTAAATAATAGAAAACAATAAATAATCAAACATTCAACTGACAAAAGAAAAAATCAAACAAAAGTTTCATCACAAATGAGAAATTCAAACAGCTGTTTCATAAAATTCTCCACAGATGGAGCCACGATCGAAGAATTAACAATCAACAATTAACCGAATTGACTTAATTAAAGTTTAATTTAGACAACTAATTGAGTTGTAATTGTATCTCAATTTTAGCATGAGTATCCCAGTGATCGATTAACTTCAAGAGATTTACTAATTACTCAGACTATTTGAATACTTTTCTTTTTCCATTGAAAACTTAATTGTAACAATCAAACAAAAAGTCAAATAAATGATTGGCAATGTTGATAATTTATTGGATAAATAATTTATATTTATAATTTTTATCTATGGTTATGAGTTATGAGATAGAGAGAAAGCAAGAAAAAGGGTAAAAGGAGAAATACAATTTATAATGTTGATGATTTGGCTTTGAGACAATTAGACAAATATATTTAAACTAATTGAAAAATTATGATTCCAATTGTGATTAATGTTTGGTAACAATAAAAAAAACAAAGATAGAGATGAATTAATATGACAATTAATGTATTACACAGATTACAGAGAACAGTTTAAATATCTAAATCAATAGAAAGTAAACAACTAATATCAAAGAAATTGTTGAAAATAAGTTAATTGTAATTTGATTTGATCCATTACATTGGTCTCTTGTTTGAGTGCGACAATTAATTACCATTTCACGACGACGATTCTCTGGCATAACAAGATTAACGACCATTGGACTCGCATCTCGACAATGCTGGACAACCACTTTACTTAAACAATCGTGATAAAAGTAAAGTGAACTAAACAAGAAAAGATAAAAAATCAAATTAATCAAATTATAATTGTAATTGTAATGGAAAATGTGAAAAAGAATCAACAATTAATCCAATTAATCTCTTACCAACAAAGTCTTCTTTGAATATCGGGGGCAGTTCGAGCATTTCGAGTGTCCCTTTGTCGCTGTAGAAGAGCATCTTCACAAGAGGCCATATAATATCTTAATTTCTGATAGCAATTATCTCCAAGCATTCCAGGCATATGTCGATCTAACAATTAAAAGAGTAACAATTAACTCGACAATCAAATTAGCAAAACTTAAGATTCGTATTCACGTCTTACCGATGTTACTCATTCCTGGCTGAATGGGAATTCCTGGTACTGGAAGATCACCGGGGAAATTGCCCCCAGGCTGAATTCGCGATCCCATTGAATCAACTGGACCGTTAATTTGATAATTAGTGTCCATTGATTGAAATGATTGCTGTTGTTGTTGCCGTTGGTATGAAGATTCAATTGGATCATAATTACCAGCGCCTTGTTGTAACATCGGTACATTTTGGATCACTTGTTGACCTGAATTCATTGGTGACATATTGTTTTCATCCATAGGTCGTAAAATCCTATCTAAAGTAATTAGAAATTAAATTAAAATCGTCAACCATCAGTAAATCAACAATTAACTGACCTGTTTTCTGAATACGATTCTCATTAATATTTGAAGTATCTTCATTTTTACCAAATTCAATTGATGATTGATTGTAAGATAAAACAGTTAAACCTAATTAAAAAAGAGAGGATCAACAATTAGAGACAATTGGAGTGATTTAGTAAACATGATTAAGAAAAATGATTAACTTACTTAAGATAATTGAGAGTATAAAAATTAAATCCATTGGATTGATTAACTTAAACATGATTGAGTCGACTAATTGTAACCAATTGGTGGACAATTAGTGAGATTAATTGTTTCTAATCCGATGAAAGGTTAAAGGCAATAGACTAATACACATTTAAGAAAATTGTTGAGAGTAAAAAAAATAATTTCGATCACTTGATTTACTTGATTGTTTAACAATTTAAACAGAGAAATAAACTAAATTAGATGATTATTGTTGACTGATTGTTGATGATGATGATGAAGAAGGAAGTTGATTACGTTCAAATCCAGAAATCGCCGGTCATCATCATCATCAATTGGGGAATCAACTAAATTTGATCACAGTGAATTAACAATAAATTAATTCTGTTAAGTGGAAAATACAATTTACAGGTTAGGCCTGTAATTTAGTTTACTCTTAATTGTGTGTCTCTAATTGTTTCTGGGTCACTTTTACCTGTGAATATAAAATTACCGTTATAAGAATAAAAAGATTCAATAGATTAATTGATTGTCATTGATTTAGAAAAAACAATTTAATCAATATAACTCAATGTAGACAGAAAGTTAAATTAATTGTTTACAAGTTTTTCTTTTTAATTACCAATTGATTGTTAATAAATTGTTTACATTTGATTAGTAACCGATTATGATGATTTGACGAAAAACAAATATTTTCAAAATTCAATTCCATCGTTAATCATTCATTAAATTGACAATTAGATAATTGTTACAATTCAATAATCATCTTACCTTGATTATTATTATAATCGTTTGAGTTGATTAAAGGTTTTCAGAATAATAATTAAATATTGTTGATAATTTGATTCTTGATAATCACCAAGTTAATTTCCAATTACAATTAGAGGTAAATTTCTAGTTAATTAATGTTTAATTGTTGTTAGAATCAAGTTGAGTATTGAAAATACGCTTTTCTTGTTAATTAATTGTTTAGTTTTTCAAATCTCTCTCTCAATGATTAATAATCTATTATCAATATTAAATCAATATACTGTTGATATATCAATTGATTGTAATATAATTGAGACTAATTAATGTTTGGCTTTTTAATTGATTGTTATGATAATAATACTTAATTGGTGTTTTTGCTTTTATCGGAATGGAAAACTGTTCATTCACACAATTAGATTTATCCGTACATTCATCAATTGGTTGTTAATCAATTTGCTCAATGACAATTAACAAATTAATTTCTCATTAATTAGAGTAACAATTAGTTTGTTGTCCAAATTGTTACAATTTACATTCTTTGGTCTTGAAAGTCGTTTCATTTCAAAATTGATTCTCTCTTCAGGATAAACTAAATTGACAAACAAAGTCCGTAAATATTATATAATGTGTGTGTTGTTGGTGCCCTTTGGTCAGTTACAATTTAAAGGGAAATTGAGATAATAATAATTATTTCATCAAGAAAAAAAAGGTCATAGAGTTTAAAGGGCAAAAGTGAGTAGATTGTTGTTGTTGAAATCGTTTTTGGGGTATCAATGGATGATTACGAGGGGAACAATTAAATATGAATGTGGAAAAAAATGTCGAAAAAATCGGTTACAATGGATGCAAAACTGGACAATGGTCAAGGGAGGGAAGAGAGAGAAAGAGAGATGAGCGATTATTGGGAAAAAAAGAAAAGAGAGGAAATAGAAAATTTTTGAATGAGTTGCGAAAAGGGAAAAGATGATGAGGTGGTAAATGAAATGTCTTTCTTGTTGTTGGATGTGTGGTGGTTGTGTAAGGGTGGGAGAGAAATTGGTAATTGGGTGGGTTCATGATTGTTTTGTCTGTTTGACCGATTCAATTATTTTCTCTTTTCTCTCTTCTCTTAATCGAGTCTTCGGGGTAAAGGTTGGGATCCATAGGTTGCTCGGCGAGCAGCATAAGATGAATAATAGGGTTGATGGGAGTAACGAGAGGTGGGATTACTCATTGGTGGTAAACCTCCACCATGGTGGTTCATTTTACCACCACCACCACCGCCTCCACCCATAGAATTAGCTTGACCATAGGGATTGAAATGATTATGATTATGATTAACATAGGGTCGGTTTGAGCTCATCTCACTTTTTGGCACAGCATTACTGACATGCAGGGAGACACCTTTCACAATATGATCTCCACAGATATTCTGGGAAACTTCCGACTCATAAGTAACGAAAGCAAATGCTCGGAATGGCCTTGGTATAAAAACATCAGTAATATCACCAAATTTGGAGAAATATTCACGCAAATCATCAATTGAAATATCCTCTGTCAAACGACCAACAAAAATCTTGCGATCATACTCTGTACTGTAAGCATCACCTTTCGACAACGGAACTCGCACATCACACCAACGTCCACCGATACTGTGACGTTTGGTTATAACCTGCCTTTGGGTATCATAATCGGCAAATCTAATAAAACCAAATCCTTTGGAAAGACCAGTTTCAGGATCTTTTTTAATTTGAGCCATTAAAAGCTCACCAAATTGTTCAAAATATTCTCTCAACTCAGTCTCAGATGTTTTCCACGGTAAACCAAGCACAATCAGATCAGTACATTTGGTAGCCTTTTTCCTCACACTTGACTCTTCATCAGAAACATCATCATTCTTTCTTTTGTTATCACCTGAAGAAGATTAATAATAAAGGAAAATAGAATAAAATATGAGAGGATTGGAAAAAGAAAGAGAGAGAGAGAAAGAAAAGAGATGAAAAAATGATAGACCAAGAGAAATGTTCGCAATGGAAAAAAAAGGAAAGGGGAAACCGGTAGAAATATATACAAGAGAATATGTAAAAAAGGGAAGAGAAAGAGAAACGGTGATGGAAAGAGCAGGAAAGAAAGAAAGATGGAAGATAGGATAGGTTTTTTTTGATAGAAATGATGTTAGGAAGGCTACCTTTAGGAAAGACAACATAGTAAACTGAAATTTTCGACCATCCCTTATCAGGAGCTTGAAACTTATTATCAACCAAACTCACAGCTCTCATCGTACCAGTCTCCTCATTTCGATATCTTAACCCGGAGGCACCGGGAAATTGAGAAGTTAAAGTTGTCAACAGCATGGTTCCATCTTCTTGAATAGGTAATTCAATAGGCTCAGATGTTTCATTCTCACAAACCTGAACATAACAAGCCATTTTTATAGATAAAAGATTAATTTGTCTTGTTCTTTCTCCTTTTTTTATAGTATTTTACCAGTCAAACAAATTTAAAGTCACAACAACAGTCAACCAATTTGAATATCACACACAATAAATTAATTGTCGTCGTTAATAAAAATAAATAAGAATAATTAATTTACTAAATTAATAATTTATCAATTTGATCATCAACCAAATCTCACAAAAACCCAAAAAATTTATTCTTTCAAGAATCTTCGCTCACCCAATAGGAAGAGAAAAGAATTGCATAAGTGCTGCCATCTAACGGAAGCTTCGACTAACAAATCATCGAAATTGTTATGGCGGTAAAAACGAAATTGACTTTTTTGGTTCTCGATTTTTTTTCTTGATTCATTATTGATTAATTGAGAATTAAGTTGAACAATTAGATTTATTGTGAATTTTTTTGTAAAGAAAATCAAATCAAATCAAATTTGTTACAATTTTTGTTTAGTTGAAGAAAAACTTTTACTTGGCCTTGAAAACTGTCAACAAAATTGTAATGATTGATTAATATAATTGACAATTAAGTAAATTAAATCATTACCAATAAATGATTAACCTTATTGGGAGATTAACAAATTAACACTATTAGAATTAGAAACAACAATTAACAATTTAAAGGTAGAAAAGTAAAGAGCAAGAGTAAAACTCATTTATCCATCACATTACAAAAGTTAATTGATGCTTAATCATGTTCAATTCAATGATTAATCATTAATTCATCAAAATGTTCATATGTTATTTACACTTGACAGAAAGAAAAAATCAACAACAATTGACTGATTATCAGATTATTGTGAATAAATCAAGATAAATTATCATATAACCAATACAACATGCACCGAGATGTATTCATCAATGGACTCATAATGTGAATTAGTTATAAAGGGTTAATCAGTAAGTAAATTGAAACAAGAAAAAAAAATCGCAATGAATTGAAATCTAAAGAAAAAGATGAGGATGAAGATGAAGATGAAGATAAAATTGATGATGATGATGACGATAAGAGATTAATAGTAGGAGATTAAGAAGGAGGAGATTATCTCATGTTCGTGAGATGGAAACCGCAATAACAGAATTTGATTTGGTTGCTGTTCTTTGATTGTTGATTACTGATTGCTGATTGTTACTCTTATTGTGATGTTGATTGTTACTACTGTTGGGGTGATAATTTTAAGATGACTTGAGAAATCAGGATTAACAAATAAAGTCACTTGGTTTGCTTTGCTTATCCGACCATTAACAACCATTTTGTCAACTGTATTAATGGTAAACAAGTTTACGAGATTAAGACAACAAACTGTAAATATATAAAAATATATAAACAGTAACAATTTAATCGCAATTAAGAAGAAGGGATCTAAAATGAAACAAGTTAAATAATAACAATAATCAAGAAGTAATAACGAAATCAATTGCAATTAACATCAATTTGATCATCTTTTTTTTTCTTCTCCTTTCTTTTTACTTGAATGGGATTAATTTCATTTCGAAACAATTAGATGAATTAAATCAATGAACAATCAGTGAAAATGTAGTCAAATTGTTGGTTGAAAATCACAATTTATTGATCATCATCGATTTAGTGGTAAAAATGAAACAATCAAGGCTAATATTAGATGATTAACTGATTATCTTATTAATCATCATCACCATATTATCAATTTAGTGAATCACATTTTCATGTATTTACCTGACAATTAAGTTAAAAAGGAGATGAATTTGGCTAAACAATCAATTTTCACGAAAAATGTCAATGTTGAGTTGATTAAAGGATGAGGATTGTAACAATTAAATGATGTTCAGTAAATGAAGCAAACAATTAAAAATCAAGTTGGCGTGTTAACCGTTAATCTCATACAACAACAACAACAAGGATAAAGATGATAATCATCAAGGATAAATAGATGAATAAATGAATGAATATCAATTGATGGTAAAGATAATCAATAGATTAATCTGACAATTAAAGAAAAGAAAAAGTAACAAATGAAGAATCATAATCATCATGGAAAAAGATGAAGAAGAGATAAAAGAAGTTCGAAAGACCATGTCTTCCAAATTTCCATCATCATTATAATCAAGATGATGATGAAAAAGAAGAGAAAAAAACTTAAATCATTCTGTAGATCATCATCATCATCATCATCATCATCATCATCGTTATTATTATTACCCCTCAATGAATTAACCAGAAAACAAGTCAGTTCAACAAAGCAGAATATTTTTCAATCAAATTTACCTGAACAAGACCAAACCCACAATTGATTGTTTCCAAGAAAATAGATTGAACATTTATCCTTCATCATAATCAGGTAAAAAGAATCTTTTTCAGACAATCAATAACAAAAAGAATTTCTCAAAAAAGAACATGATCATCAACAAGAAGAAGATGTTACAGTAAATGTATTGGTAGATCAACAGGTAACAGTAGTTGTGATGTGTAAATGTAGTAGTTGGGGAAAGTTTTTCAGAAAGAAAAGTTCTAACGTTACAACGAAGTGAAAAAAAAGCAAAAATAATCGTACGAACTGTTTGATAACTACGATTGTTTCATTGTCTTCAATTACCTTTTTATGTGCATTCATGATGATGATGATGATGATGATTGTTATTGGGAAGAGTCCAAAGGGTTAGTAGATATATAAATTAATGAAATAAACTGATAACAATTAAATAGATCAGTTAAAATATTGACATCAAAATATATTCACTTTTTAAAATTGTAACTTTAAATAAGGAAACAGAATAGAGAGAGAGAGAGAGAGAGAGAGAGAGAAAGATAGATTAAGAGAGAGAGAGAGAGGAAAAAAAGGTTAAGAGAGTGAGAGGAAGATAATAATTAAATAATAATTAAATTGACAACAATATTAATTGGATGATAGGCAGCACAATTAAAAAGGACAAATTTGGCCAGTTAATTACTCTGGATTACAGAGGAGTGCATGAGATGCACAGCAATGGCGTTTAACATAGTTATGATTACAGTAACGGTAACTATATTTTTCAAGAAACTGTGCACAACTCATTGAACCGCCAATTTTTTCAACATTATCCTGACAATCAGGTGATCCAGGTGAAAGATTGTCAAGATTGGGTGATGATGATGATGATTGAGTTGGAAGATTAACTCCTGGTGATGAAACATCAGAGGAACCATCTATTGATGAGGTTGATGATGATCTTTGATTGACAAAATTTGATCGACTTCGTGGACGACCAGCTGAACTACGACGGGATATTGTTGGAACGGAATTGTCATTATTACTATTACCATTTGCACGAGAATTTGGTGATCGGCTAATTGTCTGAGTTACATGGGTATAATCAGGAATAATATTTTCCAGTTCAGCTGTACATTTACCATTTCGACAAACCTATCAAATGGCATGAGAAGAGAGAGAAAAAAAAAGAAACGAAAATACTCAATCAATAAAAAAAACGATAAGACAATCAATCCAAATCAATTGACCGAAACTTACTTGACCATCACCACAAGGAGATCCTTCAGCAGCAGGACGATAAGAGACACAATAACCAGAGGCCGAATCGAAGCAAAAAAGTTGAGCACAAACACGAGCGTCTTTCTGTAAATACGGAAGAAGAAAACAAAAAACAACCAAATTAAAATTAATCACAATAAAAAAGTGTAAATAATACAATCATATGATGACCATAATCATGTTAATTATCATTTAATAGTAATTATGATCATCGTAAAGATGATGAATAATGTTGATAATGTTGAGTTAAGGCTGAAACTTTGTTTACATATTTATGATAACATGAAGAAAAAAAAAGTTATTCAAATATTGTTATTGTATTTTACTTGATTATCATCATTATGATGATGATGATAATTATTATTATACTTACAAAGCAAGCATTGGTTCCTCTATCTCGTTTGCATTGTTCATCAAGCGTGAGCATGGTGCCAGGTAGGACTCTTGGAAGGAGCTGGTTTTCGTGCGGATAATTGTACAAACAGGTCGCTGTTTCGCCGCTAAATATATTGAAACGGGAGAATCAACAATTGGACATAACAGTGAATAACAATAACGTTTAGTCACTTCATTTTTTTTTCTTTCTCCATCACGTATTAAATGTACATAAAAAAAACACCAACAAACGAACTGAACCCTTTCGTACATCGATGTACTCTCTCTTTCATCCTACCATCATCCTCATCTTTCATCTTCATCTTCATCCCACTATTTAACTTTCTCTCTCTCTTTCTTTCTTTCTAATACTTTACTCTTTTGCTACTTGACTTTATTTTTATCATCTTCATCTTTTTCAAATCAACTATTTACTCTGTGTGACAACAGTAAACAAAAAAATTTCAATCATCAATTGTAAACAATGATTACATGGTAGTAAATGTCATAACGGAAAAGATGAATTGAAAAGTTTCATATTCGCATGTCACAATTTTTTGACATCTTTTTTTATTCCGACATCAATTTTATCTTCCTTTTTCTTTCTATAACTTTCTTTTTTTTTCCTATTCTTTTCTTTTTTGTCACTTTCTCTCTCTCTCTCTCTCATCATTATTACAATTAAAGAAAAAGAAAAACCAATAATAATAATAATAAGATTGATTGTTAATCAATCGCAAGTTAACTTACTTTAGAAAATGTTTGAACTGTTCAACACTACATGAAGACCAACGGAAACCTCGTTCAGTATGACGAAGATCACTCATAATGAAACCATCTTCCCATGGGCATCGAGTAGCTCCAGGTCCACCTAAATAGCTTGGCGGTGGAGATCCATCATGGACACATCCCAATCTAGAAATTGAAATACAATTACAATTACAGTTACAAATTAATCTCACAACAATTTAACTCTCAATTTAAGGAGGGAAACAATTAAACTTACAAATGACCAACTTCATGTGCAGCAACAATAATACCAGAAAATCCTCCACTATCTTCAATAATGGCAACCGAATTGACCTTTTCAAGCCTTTTATTAACAACACAAGCTCCGCCGACATAAGCAAAACCAGCGGTACCTCGATTACATCGGCCACCCTCGTATCGGCGTCGACACATATCAAGCTTGGTAATTACCACGGCTAAATCATAGGTTGGTAGTCTATCCTCTCGATACAGATATTTACCCATATCGGTTAAAGCGCCCGCGGCATCAACGGCATCGGCATTTGGAGGACGAAGTCGATTCCGTTCCAGATAGGGAGTTGCATCTCGATCCTGTGAATTGATTTGAAAGACAACAACAAATGAAAACAAAAAAGAAAAAGTTAATCACTGACAATAAAAAAATAACAATCGAATTATATTCAACAATTTAAAACCTAAAATTAACTAATTAACTTTATATACTTTATCTAATTTAAACTCTCAAGACAGATAATATATTCAAATGTAAGCCCAACCTTGATCAATTAGATTAACGATAATAATTAAAATAATTGCTGTAAAAATGAGATTATCCTGAAAACAATGTAAGATACATTTCTGTAAATTACAATTAAATAACAATTAAATATGAATCAAGTAATTAGACCCACACACACTCTCTCTCTCTCTCACTCTCCCTCATCTAATTAACGTTAATTGTCAATCTTTCACTCTCATTCTCTCCCTTGATTGCTTCTAATTTTAAAGAAATTTATTGATTGCTACTCTAATTGATTTTCTCACTTTATCTTTTCGAGTTAACTAACTTTTCAAACAAACTAATTGTAACTATTTTAGAAATTCAAATTTATAACAATTTAACATGATGATTAAGTTGATTTAATAACAATTCAAATTCTGTATCTTCCTCATGTAAAACAAACTGGGTGACAAAGTTTTCATATTATTATTTACCAAGTAATTAATGTTTGTTAATCTCAACCAATCAAATCAAGCAAATTGACAATAATCATTAATTCATTGATTGCAATTAACATGAAACTTTTTTGAAACAATCATAATCATCATCTTAATCCATTAAATCAATGCATTAACCATTAACATTATAATCATTATGATTTACTAAACAAGAGCTAATTAAGATTCATTGGCTAACCTTTAATTTGATTTTTTTTATTGCAATCAAAAGTGTTACATTTGATTGTTAACCTTAAAATAATAGCCCTTCCTAAATACTATCAAGTTAATTGTCAAAGTTAATTGTCATTTGATTATTTGGAAAAAGTTTCATCACTTACAATTGATAATTGTAAGTGTTGTTAATGTTGATTAAATAGATGATCTTGATTGTGATAATTGTGCTAACGAGGTAATTTATATGATAACAATGAAATAAATCAGTGTGATTAAAGTTATCATTTAACACAATTAACAATCAAAAGGTCCATTTGATTTGGTAAATGAGCAGAATCAAATCAAACAGTTGATCATTATTCATTCATCATTGATGTAGTTAATCAACAATTAAGGTTTTTCTTTCATTCATTTTTACAATTAAGCAAAATTAACCCACAAAATAACAACAATCTAATTGATGATTAAGAAAACAATCATTTAAAAGTTAAGGAAGTTAAATTGTTGGACATGATTATTGGGTCGTAAGCTGTTTGATTACCACGATAATGGACACAATCATTACATCGTAATAACAACGATGACAATCAAAGACAATTAACTTGATCACAATTTAGATTTTCATCAAACATATAAAAACCCAAATTTTTTTAGTGCAGTTTTATTTACCTTAGCAACGATCATTCCCGCTAAACTGACCCGGATGGTTGGATGGGACAATAACTTATATCGTAGGTCAACCCCGTTCCAAAAACTGATGAAATAACGTTTAACATCACGACTATTGGCTCCATGTAAAATGTAGGAATCGTAATCAACAACCAGAAGTACCTCAGGCCACACGGTATCGGGCGCTTGACGTTTTGATCGATGGTGATGATTACCATTATCATTTGAGGTGTTAAAGGAAGACGATGTAGATGATGATAAGGAAGATGCAGTTGATAATGAAGGTTCATTTGATACTTTTGATGATGAAGATGATGATCGCAATTGTGAAGCATTTAAACTTAATAAACTTAAACCCGGTTCCAATTCAAGGTAATCCGAGTGACTTTCGGGTTCATGGCGAGCCTTTTTATATACAATATGGGCATTTTTATGGGCATACAAAGATTTCCGTTTCCGGTTCTTAGTATTATTATTGGTACTTGAAGAAGATGTTGTTTTGGGTATCCGATAGTATGGTGAATATTTACTTATCCATGTGGTTACATTGTTATTGTTCAATTGATTTAAACTTGATGATTTAAATAGCAAGGAATCATCACCATTCGGTGAGCTATTGGTATTATTGTAACTATTTTTCATGTAATTGGTGTTAATTTGATTTGATTGTTGATTTTGTTTATTGTTATTGTTTCCATTATGAAAAGCTTCATCAGCTTCATCATCATCTAGAAACATTTCATCATCATCACGATTATAATCACCATAGAAAGTTTCAGATAATTTGCTTGATAATTTTTCTGGAATTGGTTTGATTACTAAACTATTACCCAATGTACCATCCTGATTAATATAACAGTTTAATGTAATCATTATCATCGTCATCATAAATTAATATAATTCAACAGGTAACGAGTTGTAAACAATTTGCATTTTCATTTTCATGCGCAAATAATTTTACCAATAATTCGTAATTTAATTAAACGTCAATTTGATATTCAGTGATGTTTCCGGTTTAATTAGTATGTAAAATAAGAGAAAAGAGAGAGAGAAGATGAAGAAAAGAGAATAAGAGAGAAAAAAAGAAAATAGGAAAAAGAATTAACAATTATGATTATCACTATTACGATTTGTAATGATGCGTGATCAACGTTTTGGTTGGAAGCTCAGGTTGATGGCGAAAAGAAGGGAATTGTAATATGGAGAAAAAGGGTTATTCGGTTACCGTTTTGTATAATTAAGATAATCAACACTATCGAGATTGTTAGAGAGAGAGAGAGAGAGAGGATAAAGTGAGGAGGTGGAGGAGGATTGGTGATGATGAAGATGGAAAAGGATGACTGAAATAAAGAGTAAATATTTTTAGAGAGTAATATATTACCATTTGAAGTCTTCCTTCCGGATCATGGCTCACTAATACAGCAGCCATGTTGAGATGATCATGATAAGGTTTTCCAAGTTCAGGTGATTCCTGATAATTAGATTAGTTGTCAATTAAGTTGCAAATTGATGATAAAGAGATGATGCCAAGGATTAATCCCAAAGGTAGATAATATTAGGGATTTAAATTGATCCAAATTGGTTTGATTTGGAAGAAAAAAAGAAAATTAAATGATTGCGATTAGTAAGTTTTGTAAAATTAAATTTGTTGTACCAAATGCAATTAGTAAGTTAAAGGCTCTGTTGATTGTTGTTAATTAGAGAAAGTTGATTATCAGATTAACAAGAGAAAGAAAAGTTTTTGTTTTTTGTTTTGAAAAGAAAAGTGAATCAAGTCTGTAAATAGATATTGGAATCAATTGAAGAAGAAAAATCGAGGTTTGGTTCGTTTTCGTTGTTTTTAAAGCCGGAATTGAATACGACGACAAACGAAGTAAAGTGAGAACGAAAGAGAGAATAAAAGAAGATAAAAGTGCGATAATAGGGAAATGAGGGAGAGAAAGAAAAGTGAAAGAAAATAAAAGAAAGAGGGAGACCCCCACGATTAGAACATGTCGAAGAGTCGAAAGTATATTGAGACCATCAAATAGAATCAACTTTTTTTCCGGTTAATCTACTTGTGAGCTATTCGATTTAACTGATCATTTTCTTTTTCTTCTCCATCATCATCATCATCATTCTCACTGAACAACTCGCCTGGTAAGAACTTTCAAGATGATGATGAGAAAAAAAGAGTGAGTCAGAAGGATGGTGAGAGAGAAGAGACAGCGGAAACGATTTTCTATCGGCACTTCAAGTCCAGGAGAAACTTTTCCTTCCTATTTATCATCTTTCACTTTTTTTTCCTCCTTCATCATCTTAGAAAACAAGTGATACCTCAAAAAATATTATATCATCATCATAATCGCAATAATAACAACGAATCATCATGAAAAAAAAGCTTATCTTCACCAAGATCGTTACAACAGTTTACCTGAATTCATCTTTTCTTTCTGAATCAATTTCACTCTAACCGAGTGACCTGAACAAAAGGAGAGATACTCTTGAATCAATCTAAATCTCAATCTCTTTTTTCAACCATAAAGATCATGTCAATTTCCAACTACCATGAATATATATTCTCAGCCTTGGAACAAAACAAAATTCTGGTTCAACTGAAATCCAGGTAAACATATATAATATATAAAAATACTCTCATCTCTTTCTGGTTTCATGAATTTGTATCTGAAAAAAATTCTTTTTTTCTAAGTTATCATAATTGTCATCATGATAATCATTAGATTTACATTATCTTTTTACAGGTAGAGAGACAAAAAATTAAGATGCTTACGTAAAAATCAAATATTGCAAACTTTTTGAAAAGATTAACCTTTTTATCAATTGATTATCTGATTACCTGTTATTTTTTTTCTGTTGATTGTTGTTTGTTAACCAACAACAATTGTAACAGTTAATTGTTTGTTGATTGTCACTTTAATTTTCTCACAATCAATACACACACACACACAAAAAACAAATTAATTGTCATGAGATCTTGACAATCTTTTCCTCGGCTTTTTGTTTTAACAAACTGACAATTTTCATGCTCGAAATGATCAACATTTCCTATCAACATTAAATCATTTTCATTCATTTTTAATCTCAAATTTTTTCGTGTCTTCATTTGTCATTGCAGTTTTCTAATTGTAAACTTTTTGATTGGTTGAAAGTTTAATCGCTAATCAACAATCAAAATTAAATAAATGTTAGTAGTTAATGATTAAAAGCCAATTAGCATGGAGAACTGAATTTTTTTCTTACTTCAATATGCTGAAAAAAAGGTAAGATTTGGAAAAAGAAAAAAAAATTGTTGCAATCTGAACTCTTTTAACTGTTAATTTCACTTCCAATTCACAATTAAATTTGAAAATTGTTGATACTCATGATTTTTTTCTCTCTCTCTCTCTCTCTCTCTCTCATCAACAATTTACTTTCTCTCAACCAAATAGTATTTAAAAATATCAGAAGCAAAATTAAGCAAATTGTTTGGCTGATTGTTGAACATAATCAAGGCAAACCCAATTCACATACAGAACAACAATTGAAAAAAAAGGTAAAATTATAAATTAATAATCAAAATGAAATTAATCAAAATTTAAATGCAAATTTAACTGTAAATTAAGCAACAACATTTTCTGAGGTAAATGATATTTAATGAAGCTTAATCAATAGAAATCAAAGTTTACCCTGAAGTTTTGGGTTCGAAAAGAAGAGAAAAAAGTTTCCTGAATTCGGAAAAACGATTAAATCGCAATAAACGCAAACACACACACACAAAATGCTCGAGCAAAAAAAAGCAACAACAACAACAACTACAAACAGATAATAAACTAATCAGTAGTAGTAAGATAATGATAAAATTTTCAGATGATGTTGTGAGATGCTGATGTTTTGATGGTGATGATGATGAAGGAGAAATGAAAAAGCAACAACATTAAGAAAAAAAAACAACATCAACATGAATGAACAGTAAGAAAACAACAGAAAAGATTGAACAATCAGTTGAACTCAACTTTTAGCGACTTCGCCTCACTCTGTTAACCTCAATCAAATAGTAACAATCAAGAGGCGAAAACTAGAACAACATTCAACTACTACGACAAGATGAGCACGGCGTAAACTGATAAAGAGGGCTGACAGATCAACGGATGATCAAGGAGGTCGGATTAGATTAGTTATTATTATATAACAGAATCAATGATAAAAAAACGACTTCATCTCAACAGACTAACAAACTATACAATATATGAAACAAAAACTAAATTCATTAACAATAAACTACCAATAACAACAAAAAAATCAACAACATTAACCGTTTAATCAGTAAAACTATAAAGTTTTTCATCAAAATCAGGTAAAAATTGCTTATTATTGTTTGTATGAGAGAGAGAGAGAGAGAGAAACATATTGGAAGCAAGAAAGAAAATATTGATTGAATATGTTGATTAGAAACGGAAATACTTTGAGGAGATTAAGGGATAAGGAGATAATCTTAATTTTGGTGTAATTTTAAAACGATTTGCCTTTTTGTTTATCTATTCAATGAGAATGATGAATTTACCTTAAGAGTTGCATCTTCTTGGTAACTTAATTTTCCGTTAGGTTTTGTTTCAGCGATGAAAACTTTCATATCTTTAATCCTTTCACTAAAATCACTGTTTGGGTGTAAATTAAGATCGTAATCTTGACCAAACACTTTTAATTGTATCCGTTTGGAATCACCATTAGAATTTTTATTCGATGATTTTGTTTTTCTTCTTGTTGGTGGTAAATTTGACGAGGATTGTGAAGGTGAATTATTTGATAAAGGTGATGAGGTTGATGTGGAAAGTGTAGATGGCGAAGAGGATGAAGATTTTGTTTGTTTTGTTGTTGTTTTTGTTGTTGTTGTTGTTGTGGTTGAAGATGCTGATGATGGTGATGAAGAAGAGGAAGATGTTGGAGCCTCTCTTTTCGGGAGTACTCGCACATGGACGAGATCATACTCGGGCACTTTATCATGTGATTCAACTTGAAATACCCTACGAAGGTCACTTACATCCATAGAATGGTGAATGTTACGAGTATTTGGGTTAACATTATTATTCTTATAATCATGATTATCGCTGTTACTTGTGTGTTGTGTTGCACCCAAGCCAGCACCTTGGGCCAACCCTATGGGACAACAAAGGGTAATAAACACATTAAGGAAAACGACTAGTTGAACAATTGATGAAGAGGAAAAGGTTTGGTGGTGGTGAGAATGGTGATTATGTGTTAATGATTTTGATGGTGATCGTGAAGATGAAGATGATCCTCGTAAATTAACCAGGTTATATAGATGAGAGAGGTAACAAAAATTCATATCGATTATAACACCTCAGTAACATGAGAGGTTACCATTGGGATCACTGGAGACTTTGATGATGATGAAGAAGAAGAAAAATTTTGATAAATTGTAATAAGAAGACGTTGATAAGATTGTTGATAACAAATTGTTGTTATTGGTGTTAAAAGGTGATGATGATGATGATGAACAATCAATTAGTGAAACAAACAACGAGTCAATCCAAAATCCAACCATCGGTCCATAAATGATACCAAAAAGTGTTCAGTAGTCGTTATCGTTATCGAACCAAATGAAGAATTGAAAGAAAAAAAAACTAGAAACTTTTTCAAAAAAGAAACAAAAATGTTCGAAAGTTGGACTTTTCGTTAACAACAATCAACTCTCATTCGAATTAGTTTTTCTCCCTCTCCCTATCGTACGATTAGTTAATCCTTCTTGCAAGCTTAACTTTCTTTTCGCTAATCGTTGGTCGATTCGTTGGTTTTTTTTTCTCTCTCTTCACTTTCGTTCTCTATTGTACTCTAATTTTCCAGGTAAAAATGATAATAATTAAAAAAAAAATCTCTCTCAAAGACTAAAACACTAAGCAGAAACACTCACAATAATATATATATATTTATACTTATAAACTTATATATATATTTACAAGTAAACGCACACAACTAATCCGACCGACTAATACCTAAACTGTTGGTACTTTCAAGTTTTCAACGAAACGTAAATCTCATCTCTCTCTCTCCCTCTTTCTCTTATGCTCCCTCCCTTTTATCTTCTCTTTCTTTATCATCATCTCCTCCCTTACTTTCTCTCTCTTTTTCTTATCATCTTGTGTCTGTTGTTTCAGTGACATCTATTGGTAACTTTTTTCTCTTTCAGTGAAACGAATCTTTTTTTTTCGGTTTTCTTTGGGTTTCCGTTTGGTTTTCCCTTCCTTTTTGGTGGATTGAAATTTCCAATTGTAATCAACTAATTATGAATAGAGAGAACAAAAAGAAACAAAGCAATAGATTAGAATCAAGGGTAATCTAAAAAAGAGATTAGCTAATTAACTTAATCCAGTTGTTTCTCAATGGATATGCAAATTACCTTTAAGGTACAATCGATACAACGAATTAGCTTTCCGTGTGTTTTCATTGAGATTAACTGGTGATTTTGGATGATCGTCTTTCATTTTCTCGATTGATTTGGTTCGTTTACGTTTTGACCATCGCATCGGGAGTTAACCTGGTCATCACCTTTGACAACGAAAGAGAGAGAGAGAAACTTGTTGCTCAACCTTTTTAACGAATTTTTCTTCTTTCCTCTTTTGGCCTCGAGCTTTTGGTCCTTTTAATGTGTATCATCTGATTTCGTTTTTTCTTTTCTTTTCTTTTCCAAGTCTTCAAGTTGATCTTTTTTTCTCTCTCTAACTGTAAGCAGAATTTCATGTTTTCTTTACCATCATTACCATTTTATTTCTTTATTTCGTCTTCATCTTCATCTTTTTTTTTTTCTTTTCTCTCCATCAGCTTCTTCTCTTGTTCTTCTTTTCTTATTACTTTCCTTTTCATCTTCATCTTCATCATCCTCCTCCTCCTTCTTCGTCTTATTATTATCATCATTTTTCTTTCTTCTTTAGCTTCTTTTCATCTTCTCCCTACACATCATCCGACGGCTTGATTTCTTCATGCTGATTGAAAAGATGTTTGGTAACATCCAACAACAATTTTCTCTTCATCATCAATTATATCTTCAGTTAGGCGATACTTTTGGTGTTACAGTTTCTTCCCAAGTTCTGTTAGCCATCAAAACATGAGCATCGAATATCCTGAAAATAAAAAGAATATATAATAAAACATGAGAATAGCGCAGAAAGAAAAAAAAAATGAAAACTCAACATTTCCTGAAGGAAAATGAAGTGAAAGTGATGTGTAAGGTCACAAAGGTCTAAGGCTAAAGGTCAGCAAAAGGGGGAAACGGGTTAAAAATCGTAAATATATATAAATAATATTTGTCTTATTCTTAAATATATTTGTTGAGATCAACGATTTTGATTGCGATTTCGTCAGAACGATTGTCCATCTCTCCTTTTTCCTGATTTCATTTTTTTTTACAGCTAAACACTGACCAGTACCAACCATTAGGAAGATTATTGTAATAAAGCTTACACGTAAATGACTGTGATTGTTATTACCGATAAATCAATTCATCAATCATCATCATGATAGGTCTTATTTTATATAAAAATATAACCAAAAAAAAACTTTTCCTTTACTGTCCGAAAATCATTAAATCCAACCAACCGAGTTGATCTTAATCAAGTTAACCTCAATCCCTCTGTGACTCTAATTGTCTAATTGACCTTGGTCTTATTGTTATAAAATCACCAATTAATGAAGCAAATCTTATATATAGATATCATCTATTGGCTATCTCTTAATCACTCTCCATATCAGCTGAGTGTCCAACCTAAAATGAGAGAGAGAGAGTTGTTGTTGTTGTTGTTTGAAAAGAAAAAGGAAAAAAGAAAGAATATTAATAATCTGATATTATGAATTAAATAAGTACTTACGGTAATGATCAAGAATATAACAACAACAGGTTAAAGGTAGAAAAGAATAAATATAAAAAAAAGAATTAGAAATAGACATGAGATGAAATAAGTGCGGGGGTTGAGTTTCTATTGTTCAATTAATCATGTTTTCACTTTTCCTCTTATCCTGGTGGAGATAATTAAAAGATACCTTTTAACAATCAGCTCAATGTAAAGGTGAATACATGGTGATTACAATTAATTGATTAGATTGTAATGGTAAATTGCAATTAGAGGTTACCCTTTTGATTGAATAGCAAATATCTGGTATCAGTTGATAGAAAACCAGTTGAATGTTGTCATTTATAGGAAAAGTGTTTCGCTCTATTGGAATAAGGTTTTCTTTTCCAAAATCCGATTGACAATTAGTTAATTTGGTTGAAGTGGTGATTGAAGATGTTGACAAATAATCCATGGTTAATTGTTAATTGTCTAAATTTGACAAAAAAAAGAGAGAGAGAGAAAATAATAACAATTAAAATGAGAGATATGTTTGATTAAGAGGAAAACCTGATAACCGGTTTGTTGTTTTACCTTTTAACTGACACTTTCACTTTGATTAAACCAGAATTATCAATCATCTTCTATTAATATATTTATCTGATAAATGGATGGTGATTAAGGATTAATCAAAAGATAAAAAGGAACACAATTAAATTAAAGAGAGAAACAAATTAAATTATTAAAAGAAAAACAATTAAACGTTAATCCGATTGATCAACTTAAAGGGTTAAAGTTAATTCAACCAGAGACCAATGATTTAAATCTGTCGCCATCTGATGGACTTTGTTGAAATCGAAAAACTTTTTCTTAATTGTGATCAATTCTCTCATTAATTAACTAATCAAACTTTCTGTTAAATGTTAATCATGTTTCTCAACTTAAGTAACCTTAATGGTTGACATTAATTTGTTAATTTCTAGGGGTAAAGTTAATCAATGAGAATTTGTTAGTTTAATTGTTTTCTCGTTTCTTTTTTCATTTGACTTTGAATTTGATTTTTAGATTAATTGATGATTTGTTAATTAAAGTTTCTCTTTATTAGTTGATTGTTTTAATTGTTAATATGATTAAGTTTGAGTTTCTATTGGATTAAATGACCAATAAGTAACAATTTGGTTTTTAATTGTCAAGGAAAAGTAAGTTGATTAATTGTTTGTTAATTGTTTTGATTATTATCAACAGACGAAGTTAATTAGATTTAATTGTTTCACAAGCAATTGGTAAACAATCAATTTACTTATGAAAATAAAAACAAATTCAATCAAATTAGCAATCGTTTCCATGATTTACAACAATTTAAACGATGAAACAATTAAAAAGTTTCCATTAAATGATTGAAACAATTTAAAGTCTTTCAATTGTAATCAAAATTGAGAAATTAAATCTAACTAAAAGTTTGACAAACAATTTAACTTTCAATTGTGGATAAATTTTGTTAACTACAATTAAGATTAAGATTAACTTATCGTAACAATTAAAAAGATGAAAAAGTTTAATTGATTACGAAAAACAATTGAAACTATTGAATATAAATCGATTTAATTTATCGAACTTGTTGATTAGAACAATTAGAAAATTTTCTTTCTTAATTTTTTCTTCCTAATTAAATTAACTCAATTACTTTTGTTTAGTTCCTTTTAATCATCTAAGAATCAATTGTAACAATAATTAACAGAACAACAATTTACTTTCCATTTTTAATTGTTATTGTTGTTGATTAGGAATAAAAGTTTATCATTAACTTATCAACATTAATAAAGAGAAAAACTTTTTTTCGTTAATCATAATTAACTGATTTACAATTAATTATAATAAATTTTGATTGCATAAGACAAAAACAAGTTAACTAATTAATAAGGTAAAAAAATTTTAGGTAGTTAATTATAATTATTTATTGTTATCATTGAAATAATTAGTTAATTGTTATATCGTACATACAAATATAATATAACATCACTGTCCCGATAAACTTGATTATCACTGATTAATAATAATCATGATTAAGTTAATTGTTGAAAAATTGTTAACTTTCCAATACCGTGACAATGAGTGAACAACATTAACAATTAACAACAGGAAATAATATCAACAATCAACTAATCATTAAGCAAGAAAATTAAAAAATTAAAACCATTTTAAGATTAGAAAAAAAAATGAGTAAATTGAGAAAAGGAAGTTGATTAAGATTAACCAATTATTATATTAATCATATCCGGTTAAGATTAACCAACCAGTAAGACAATTAACTATTAACTATCAAATTAACGGGTTAGATTGAAAATTAATTACAATCAAATTTAATCGTATGAAACTTAATCACAATGCCTTGACCTTTAAAGAGTAATATAAATGGATTAACCAAGAAAATTAAGAAAAGTAATTACAATTAAAGGTCTAATCAAAGTTAATCAAGGTAATCAGGCAATTGTCTAATCCGTTGATTAATAATTAAATTAAATGTTTTCAATTCAATTGCTATTATAATTTATTCATTGGGCTACGATAAATCAAAAATGATTAAGTTAATTGTGTTGCTGGTTGGCGATTAAGTTAATCCAATTTAGGCCAATGATCACAATTAATTGTTATCGTTGTGATCAAATTTAACAACAATTAACATTGATCACTTGGTGTATATTTAAATTGTGATTAAAAGTGAAAACAATAAAATTAAGGTTTGTTATCATTAAGGTGTGCAATTGAACAACAACAATTAAAAGTTGATCATATTAAGTGAATGTAACTTACAGCAATTAGATTGATTTAATTACAATCTAATAATAATGATGACAATTAAAATGAATCAATGAATAACATTAATAAGATTGATTAAAACAAAAGTTTTCATCTTTTGTTTTATTGACAAAAATCAAGAGTTAATCAACAATTAGTTAACAATTTAGCACCAACGTGATGATTAGCCAATCTTAATAACAATTAACTAATTTTTTATCCTTGAAGATGAAGAAAACAAACCAGCAGCAATTAAATAAATTGTCTCTTAACTAATAGACATATTCCTTGACAATTAACTGCAAACAACAACAATTTAAATCATAAATAAATGGCTGTTTAATTTTGCTTTTACCTCTCATATCCCTGATCCCAAATGATTAACTATCAACAATTAAAAGTGAAAGTGATTAAACTGCAATTGCAAATTATGATTAAAATATTTAATCTCAACATAAAATCAAAATGATGATCAATATGATTAGTTAGAGATTTGAATCAACAATCAACTGAATACACACAAGAAAAGCAATCAAATTAATCTTAATCTTTTAATCACGTTAAAGTCAATGATCCAATCAAGATGATCATGATTAAGATTTTAATCATTTTCATATGTTAACAATTTAATAACGAAATTAAGTTCATCGTTCTAATCATTGATCTAGAGTTAATCACTTTCATTGATTTCTCTGTGTAAACATAATGTTGTTGACTTTTCAACGATAATCAGTAAATCAGTAATAAGAAAAACGTTTAATCATGACAATTACAATCAATTGATTAATAATAATAATTTAATCACAGAGAGAGAGAGAAAGAAATGAAAAGTTATTATTATTAATTAAATCAAGAAGAAAATTAATTTCGCCTTTGAAACTTTGATTGTTGGTAACAATTTAACCCTTTATACTTGGGAGAATTGACAAATTATGGATTACGAAAGTTAATCAGAATGATTAACATGATTTAATCACTTGTTAGTTCACAGTTTTATTTGACTAACATCACAATTTAATCATCGAGTTAATCCAGTTTTAATCATTATCATTTTCTTACAAGACAACTTATTACCTTAGGCTTGATAATCTCGATGGGAATTTAATTTATCGTTGATTGTTATGTCTAAAAAAAGAGATTATCACAATTAATAATCGTGATTAACTTCTTAACTTGTTCCTAAATTGTTGACAATCAAAATCAATCAAAAAGGTTAAATCAATCTAATCATAGAGATCACTGATCTATGGTAATTTATTTTGATTCAGTTTAAATCATTAACCCTGACAAGTCATTGACAATCAAATATTAACAATCCAATCAATCAACAGTTAATCATTAATCCTTATAAATTAATTGTACGTTAGTTGAAACAAATCAACAGAAATAATTTTGCAACCGTTAATTAGTTGATTGTGACAATTTACCAATAATTTGAATCAACAATTACAATTAAGAAAGAGGGCAAAAAAAACCAAATCGAAAATCTAACTTTTTGATTAACTAATCAAGTAAATTGGTCACAATTAACTGGAAAATTCTGAATCACATGAAAAACTATCTTTAGATTAAGACAATTAGTGACAATTACCAAACAATTTAATCAATTTAAACCAAAATGATAGAAAGTATTGTAACTCAATTAGCCAAATTGAATGAGTTTTGATTGTAATTACAATCAAAACGTGGTTCTTATTGTGTTAATGATAACGAGGTTAATTGTTGATGATATAACAATAATAATACACCAAAGGTAAAGTTAATTGCTTTTAATTGTGATGATTATTTTAATAGTAATAATGATGATAATAAAAAACGATGTCAGATTTTGTTTGTTTGTGTTAATACAATCAGTTTGGTGTTGATCAATTATATAATTATTATATTGTCAAGACTTGATTTAAATTTGGTGATGAAGATGAAGATGAAGATGATGATTAGTGAAGATGAAATTGATGATCATTTTATCCAGAATCTTTTTCGTTATTATTTTCCACCAGAATCCTGAGAGAAAACAAAAAAAGTTCTGAGTTGATTGGGTTAACATTTCCATGGTGAATATTTGAAGTTTTAAAAAGGAAAAGGAAATAGATCAAGATAAATATATAATATGATGATAATCATGAGAAAATGAGAGTCTGAGATAATTAACCTAACAATTAGTTAACTAATGTTGATTACAATTTGTTTTTTTGACAATAAATTAAATTCTTGTCAACTTGAATTAGCAATACAATTAAAAGTTTTAAGATCTGGTTGGGTTGTTTATATGGTTGATTGTTGTTGGTGTTAAATTGTTGAAATGGTTTAACCTTTTTCCCCTGGTTGTTAATTGTTAACCTTGTTAATTGTTGGAGTATCAACGGGAACAAATTTCTCCTTAATTGTTGTAATTTTAATACAACTTTTAATCATTTTTTCCCCAACACATTGTACTTTTTCAATGAACAATTTATCAACTCTTCCATTGAGATTAACCTTTTGTTGCTTTCTCCGAAAATCAAATTAGTTAATTGTTGCCACAGGTAATTGTTGATTAAACGAAATGTTCAAGTGCATGGTGAAGATTAACCAGATCAGCGTGATCATTAACTGGCCAGTAAGGAAAACCAAGCTTAATTGTGATGGACAATCGAGGAAAAGAAAAGAAAGAGACACAAACAATTAATATCATCATTAAATCAGAGTAATTGATTTGTTAAGATAATAAGTTAATTTTATTTTTCTTTTTCTGTTCAAATTCATAATGTTCACATTTCTCTTCCTGGATTAGTATTCTACCTTTTATATGATTACGATAATTACCATTTGATTCAGGTAATAATATAAAAGATTATCATGAGAAATATAATCAATAATATAATCATTATAATAAATAACAATGTAAACTCGTAGGATGATAAATGTGATTTTAGTGTTAATAATAATCGTAATCATGAAAATCAGTTAAAGAAAATAATCAAATTAAAAGTGAAAGGGTTTCACAGAAGATTTAATTGTATTATGATTATTTAATCAGGTTAGTTAAGTTATATAAGCAAGCGAGAATGAGAGAGAGAGAGAGAATTTAGAATATCAAAAGAAAAAATATTCGAAATTCGGTAAATTGTTATTTATGGAGTTCGATGATTTAAAACTTACCGACTTCTTTGCTGAAGATTTCTCATATTGACTATCACCGATTACAACGTAAGAGCAATTACCGAATCTTTCCTTGATCTTATTGAGACAAGTTTCTTTACCGACCTTAGCCGATGAATAGATATTATCAACGGGAAAGAATGGACCTAATCTATGGAGTAACAATTTACACAGAGCAGGAACTAATTGAGTATCAGTTACAAGAACGTTAACACAATCGGGCCTAATTGAGAAACGAAGAAGAAGAAAAAAAGTTAATCGATTAAAAATTGATATTCACAATATTGACCATTCAAATGACCATTGGAAAGCTCACCTATCGTTGATGATTGTTAAACATTTAATCGCAAAATTCAGCCAATTGTCAGTTAGATTTTCTATTTGATTACGGACATGCATCCAATCAGCGGCTTTATTTCCTAGGAGAGCTGTCAAATGGATTAAGATGATAAAGAGAGAGAGAGAGAATGATGATTAAGTCACTTATTATTATTAGAAGGAGGAAGATAAAGAGAGAGGATAATGATTATCATCATCATTGGTATTAATGGAATCAAATTGCAATGAACCTCAACTGTAATTTGATTAGATAGTAAAAGTAACAGTATTGAAAGAAAAATACTAAAAACAAACAAACAGTTATAACAACACGTTAATCGCCTTAGGCCTTAATCATCATTATAATTGATAGACCCTTAGGTGAACACAATTGACCAGAATTATCTATTATAATCAAGATAATCTCTATCATAATGATAATCATTATTATTATAAGAGTAAAAGTGATTTAATGACCATCCCTTATAACTAGTAATTTAGGTGAGGTTGTTTATCTGATTTTGATTCCTTGTTGATTCCTGCTGTGATTTAGATCAATTTAATAATCTAAAGTACTTGTTTGTTTATTAAAATCATTAATTTTACTATTATATTAATAATAATATTTGGTGTAATCAGTAAATCAACTTATCCCTCCAAACAATTAACTGTCCATAGTTTTTTCTTTCCTGATTTTGTGTATTTACTTTAAATTATTGTAGTTGATGATTTAGATTAAGATTGAATCTTTTATGAATTGTTGTTATATTTTAGTTGATTTAGTTTTTTACAACAATTATAATAATAGGTATTCTGATTAACTTTAATCATCAACCATCATCTAACTTTTTGGTCTATTGTGGGTTTGATTATACAACAATTTAGCCCGCAAGCTAATTTAGGTTTGATTTAAATTCTCATCACAACAATTAGTCTAAATCAATCTTAAAGTGTGTAATTTGTTTCCCTATTTTTCACTAATTGGTCTTGTCACTTTTAATTGTTGTAAGATTAGTTGAAAAGATATTCTCATAATTAAATCAGATTGTAATCAAATTGATCATGATAATCATGATACCAATAACCATTTATTAACTAACTTTGTTGTTTTAATCAACTTTTTTTAATTTATTTACCCAAATTTAATCCTGAAACTTTTCAAAATCAGGTAAACAATTAAATTAACACAAACAAAAAAGTTAACCAAAAAACATTTAGAGTTGATTAATTAGTTAATTAGTTGAAAAATTTAATTAAGATTAGCTCAAGGATAAAGTAACCTTAATTAGTGAATAAGTTTGATTTAATAATAATGATTAGTAAACAATTAGTCGACCATTTACCAAATCAATTAATCAATTAACTAATTAAATGAAATTTTGTTACAATTTAAAAATTTTAGTATTAAAATTGATCAGCAAACAAGAACAACAACAACAAATGACAATTAAATCAATTTGTTTGCCAAACTAAACATGACACAACTCGTATTGATTTACATAATCAGATCAAATCCAATTAATTGTTGAAACAATTTGATTAAACCACTTTAATTGTCTAGACTAATTAAATATCTCTAACTAATCGGATTACCTGAAACATTAGTACGATATTGATCGTAAATCTCCTTAATCCGACGATATCGAAAAGCCAATTTTCTCATCCAATCGATTCCACTTCGAGTTCCAGCCGATGGTAAACATCCCATGCTAGTGCTTCGAGTTGCCTCATTGAATCCATCGGTGCTGAAATTATATTTACTGTTGGAGAAGAAAAAAGAAAAAAATTAAACAACAATTAAACCACAAAAAGTCACATCGATAAATCAATCAATCAATAATTACCTTAAATCTTCACCATTATCATCGGAGGAAACATCGTCAATATGAATTTGATCACAATGCTAAAAGAATTGGGGAAAAAAAGAGAAAATATAATTAGCTGATTGTCATAGCAATTAAAAACTCAAAATGAAAACAATTGAAAACTCTAAATAGCAATTCGGTAATTGTTATTGCTGATTTGAGAAAAAGATAATAAGACAAGTAGTAAGTAGGAAGAAGAAATCAAATTATTGAATTAGAGGATTAATTAATTAACTTGATTAGTTGAGAATTGATGGAGAATGAAAAAAAATTAACCAATTACCTCTAAATCATTGAAAAAGAAATGGATATCAGCCAAGCTAAGCATCATTTGCTCAATCAATAATCCTAATTGTGTTAACGTATCGGTATCCTATTGTTTCAACAATTAAGAGTTAAATTGTTACAATCATGAAAAGGAAGGAGAAAAAAGAAAAGATAATCAATGATTAGTACAATCGATAATCAATCGAAGAAAAAAACAATAGATAATTATAATCAACATGTTAACCATCATTAGCCCCAATGATCATAATAATAACAGATTGTCCCAATTTCCGGCAATGTCACTAAATAGTAACAACAATTAACTCTTGTAATAGTAAAAAAAAACTGAATAATCAACAGTAAATAGAATAGCTAATCTATCTAATCCAATCCGTTTGATTCAATGTTAAATTAAGATTATAATGTGTAATTAACGTTGACGGCCAATTTGAGGTCAATTTAAGTGAAAGTGATAAGGAAATGATGATCAAGATTAAGATAAAGATAATCAAATGATGATGATGATGATGATTAACCTGAGGATATTATTGATTTATCAACATACATACACTCAACTGAGACCCTAAGGTAATCAAACTTTTACCTTCTAACTTTTTTCTTAAAAATTTTTTGATTATCAAAATGGTAAAAGTTATTAACCGGAAATTGTTACTACAACTAATCCAGTTGGGTTGTCAGTTATTTCCGGTGTAACCTTGTGAAACAAGGGTGACCTACAATTAAAATTAATTACCCAACAATGAATCATTTGATTTACGTTAATTAAACCGTAAAAATTTTGAACAAGTTGTTGATTTGAAATGACATAAAAAACACTTAATTATTTCACTTGGACTCAAAAATTAAATCGATCAGGCTTGTTGTTGGTCAAGTAACAATTAACTTTGCTCACTATCAACGTTAATCTATAAATAAGTTGATCATGATAATTGAGAAACCGTTATCATGTTAATTACTAATCTCAACAATCAATGATTCAACTAAAATCTTAATTTGTTTTCACCTAACAATTATCAAGGAGAGAGAGAGAGACTTGTAAAGTCACAATTAAATCACAGTTGCGGAAATGTAATCAATTTACCTGAACCTAATATCTTAATTGTAAACATTAATCATCATTGTTAAGGTTCACACTAGTCATGAAATCGGAATCGTCGTTTAAGAGTAATCAAAACTTCTTTAATACACAACACATAGAATTACAAGATTAATGAGTTCACAACGGTCTAACGAGAAGCAGATTTAAGGGACAAGGGTCAAAAGGGTTAGCTTAATTTAGCTTAAAGGGGGTAGACTAATGTGACTGTAACAAATAGTACAAGTAATGTGTAATTACTGTCTTTGGCTGTTGGTAAGACAATTGTATTTAAACCATTGGCTTAACAACGCCCCTATTGATTAAATGAAATACTTGAGATTAAGATTAGGGAAAGTTACAAAATTGAATAAAGTTATATGATTAATAGCATATCCCTAACAGAGCCCCCTCCTTGACGTTGATTGGGGTGTCAAAGAGTGACTTTATAAAATTTGACGTCCTGGATGTCGGGTTTTTCCAAAGTCCAAATGCCTCCGATCAACGCTTTCGTTGGAATCCTTGAGATTGAACTTTCGAAACAGTCGAACGAATCTTTCGGAACTTCATGAACCAGTTAATATTCACTTCTGAATATGGTGCCACCAATTGAACCGAATCGGTATCAATGATCTTATATGGATCGAATGATGGTGACCATTGCCAACTCTTCACAGGTTTTCGTCTTAAATCATCTGGCCAATCGTTAATTACTTCCATGATATCCATTAGTAACTTAGCCATTTGTTCATTAGGCGGGTAGACGATATGAGGAAATGGTTTGACCGACACGATTCGTGTTAGCGCAGCGCCATAAACTTCCTCAAATCTCTCAAAGTCGATTAAATAAGCTAAAAGCGTGTAGAAAGCATCGACTATCGGTGAATGATCACTTTCTTGAATTACTCTTCCAAATAATGTAAAGGTGATGTACTTGAGAGCAATTTGATCATTTTCAATTCGGCAATTATAATAATAATTTACATCTCGAACCTTCGGTGCAATGATATTCCAATCATCGGTTGTGAAATCCATGGCATCGAAATCAGTTAATCCACCAGCAACAACGATGATGTCGAAATCAGATAAGATTTCAACAACTTTTCGTCTTACGATTCCATAGTGTTTAGCTCCTTTAATCTCATTCCAAGTTAGTCCATGGAATAACGTGTTGAGATTATCAATCGTTTTCTTTGGATATCGACAGATTTCATTCAGAATAACATTTCCTTCCATGTCCACGATTCCAAACCAAAGTGGCATTGACTTAATTACTCCATTTTCTCTGATAACATTACATTTTTCAATGTCCATAGCACAAACTTTTATTTGTTGTTGTTTCAACTTCTTCCACGAATCAAAGATTCTTTGATCATGGGGAAGATCTTCAACATTTAATCCAGCCTTTGGAATCGAATTCGATTTCAACCATTCAATGATGTTCTTTTCTCGTTTTACATCTTGGCTTCTTACTCTTCCTTGTTCAATTCGATTCTTTTCCAACATTCGCTTTCTAATTGCTCGTCTTTTTGCTTCTTTTGACATATTTGGATCAGCTTTTATTTCTTCAATTGTTCTCTTTTGTTGTTCAATTTTCAATGATGATTTTGGAAGTTGATCAGGTTTGAGATTTGGATCAATTTCCTTTTGAATTTTGATTTCTCCAATCGATTGAGATGGTCGAGTCGACGAATCGTCGTCATCAGGCCATACAATTCGATCTGGAGCACTGACTTTAGCAGCGATTGCTGACCATGAACCCCAACTTGGCCAATCATCGAATTCAACATTTGATTTCGAAGTACTCGGTCTTGGTGGTGTTCCTGGAGGAGTATACGAGCGACTTGATTTCTTCTTTGGATGAATTGTTGTTGCACTTCTTTTCTCTTGACTTGATTTACTTGATTGACTTGATTGGCTTGATTGTTTTGACTTAGAAGATTCTTCATCAGAATAGATTAGATCTTCTTTATTCAAGTCATGCCAGAAATTCTGTTCTGATTGATGAGAGGTTGAGGGCAAAGATTCTTTGCTCTGGCCTCCCATCACATGAACAGTATAACTTTTCGATGGATCATTTCGATCTGTAACAACTTTCTTAGCATAGAACGGAGTTTCACTTTGATGATATTGAATCATCAATCGTCGATCCAATGCTTTATAAAATTCGAGGCCATTGATGAATGGTTCTTTTTCCGATTCTAATTGAGGCACTTCGATATGTTTAGGATTCTTTTTCAAATGGAACAAATAGTTTAGAATAGAATTGATTTTAAATTCATTTCCTTGGCAAGTCATGATGTGTTTTAGAACTTCCCAATATGGACCAGCAACAGGGCAATTGTAATTTCGGCACTTGACTTTTAATTTTCCAAATTTGGTCACTTCGTCACTGTTGATACCAAGAATCTTGGTTAACCGTGACGGAGGACAAACCATACACTTGAATCTTTTATCTAAAAGATCATCGACATTTGGTTGCCAATTTCCTCTTTCTCGATTTTCCATGATGTACAAAACAATGGTACAGAATCGACAGTAATAGTGTTTACATTGAGAACACATTAATGGATTCACGGCAACATGATTACAGAAGGCACAAGATATTGAGATTAACGACTTTGGATCATCACGTTCAGGATTTTCTTCCAAGATTAATCCAGGTAAATACGATTCGATCGCCAAATCAGCCCATTTTTCACCAAATGTTTCTTTCAATTTCTCCTTTACGATTTGGATTAGTACGGATTTGGATATAGAAAAATAGCCATCCAAAGTGTCCATCTTGGTTCGATGACTCAGATTGATTTAGCTTAATTAATCACTCAAGCTTTTTATTGCCAAATCCTTTTTAATTGTTGACTAATTTGGTTTCTTTTACACAAATTTAACCTAATTGTTGGTTAATTGTTAGGGAAAGGAGAGTGAGTCTACGAATCGTGGATTCTTCTCTTCCTTTTCTTCCTTAACAATTGATGAAATCACTTTGAATTTGATTGTTACTGATTGTTGAAAATTTGACTTTACACACTTACAACAATTTGAGCAACAAAATCACAGAATAAGATCACAAGTTTTGAATTAGAATATAACTTTGAGTTACAGGTAATAATGGCACAGAAAAATCACAGATGAAAAGACAAAGAGTTTCACTTGACTTTCTTTGTTTCAATTCGGTTCACAATCACTGAACTTTTTGTTGTTCAGAAGAGAGTGACCCTGCGAATCGCAGGTTCTTCTCTCTCTGGGTCAACAAAATCACAATTAAAATAAAACATAATTAAAATTTTAAACAAAATGAAATAGAAATTAAATCTAATTAAGAGAAATTGACCTTAATCAGTCAGAACGAGAAAGTAAAATGATTGATTGATTGATTGTTAGGGGTCATCTCAAAATATTTAAAACAAAAAGGGTTACCAATGGTGACAAAGACGGTCCCCTAGTGGTAGCTTTTTCTTTAATTAAAATTTGTTCTTTTTATAATTAAGTTAATTATAATTAATCAATTGTGTTTATTTGATTAATTCAATTAATTAATTTTGTTGGTTGTTTAACTTTTGGTTGTCCTCATGGATCCGCGATTCGTGGATCCTTTGGATGACCAATTGTGACACAATAGACTTCGTTTAATTGTAAAATGTGATAGTTGTTAGCAATCCCATTTCTTCACTTGTGTTGTTAATCAAATTTGGTGTTTTAATTTGATCAGTTACTCAGTTTACTCTTATTATATTAACTTGTTAATTTGTTAGTAAAATAATTTGTTTGTAAATTTACTTGGTAATCAATTGATGCGGGACTTAGATTCTAAGTTCCAATCAATTGATTAACTTGATTAATTAAAATTATTAGTAAAAGGTTAATAAGAGACTTAGATTCTAGGTCTCGATTATCCCTCTTGTGTTCATCACCATGTTGATACCATGACGATTCACCAATTCAAGGAAAAGGACAACCAGGATTATCTAGTTTCCAAGTCGATTTAAAACGCTATTTAACTTTACGAT